ACTGAAATCTCAAAGTTATGGCATCATGAAATGCTATGTAGGTCAAGATTGGAGTTAGACATTGACAGAGTACCATACACAGAGAAGTGCGGGGCATCAAGAGCATGCAGAGAGCTCAGAATATGTCCATGGGTTGAGAAGGTTCACCATGTGACACACATGCACTTCCACACTTTTCTTTACCTTGTCACAATAGACTTGTCATGAAGTTTATCATAACCAGTATTACCATTGTCCATACTTTAACAAAAATAAATGACACCAAAAAGATAATGTTATCACTAAAATGAAGTATTTACATCATGGATCACAAACACCATGTAGGGGCCATGAAAGGTATGTGACAATTTGTTAAATCTGCAGATTCCAAAGTTGGAAATGACTTCTTTATGGGTTAGTAATTTTAATATGTAAAATATTCATTCCTTCAAAGAATATTTCCAGAGCACCTTCTATGTTCCAGTCCTATCTTAAGAACTTTCACAATTAATTATAACCTAGATGTATCTATTATTTCCATGTCATTTAAAGATGTTATTAATTTAACATTAAAGTCCACCATAAAATAAAAAAATCCTCCACCATCCCATGAATAAATATAATTTCTTTTAAAAAAATGCTTACGTTTCCGGGGGTATAGTTTGAAGACTATAAAATACAAAAAGGAGAGACAAAAATACTGATATTCTTGTGACTATTATAGCTCTATAGTTACACCCCCCACATCTGTACTCCAATATAATGTTAATAGGACCCATTAAAGAGAGACAGGATGACGAGATGAGTGACATGGACACGAACCACAGGAGATCACCAGACAGAGAGCTCAGGACACCCGACGCGCGCGCACGTGTGTGTGTGTGTGTGTGTGTGTGTGTGTGACAGAGAGAGAGAGAGAGAGAGAGAGAGAACCAAGATGACAGGGGAGGGAGGGGAGGGGGAACGCGTTGAGACTGACTTGGCCATTCAGAAGCTGCATGGTTCCCCTTCAGGAGACTTTTCCTGGGAGACTCCTCAGGAACCAATGGCTGAGCTGCTCCTGACTTTGTATTAGCCTGACCTGCAGAAGGACTTTCCTAGAGGGCTGGGCACCTAATCCATGCACTGTCCTCTTTGCTCCCAAACCTGGCTTTGTCTTCAGATGTGGCAGCAATTGAAATCCTTTGGTGTGAGCACTCATGGAACTCACAGCAACAGAAAGGTACAAGGGGCTCAGGTTAGACTGAATGGAGGCCAATGGATTCTCCCACAGCTTGTGAAGCCTCCTTCCCACCTGTGCAAGCCCAGAGGACAAGTGGCCCTGGCTGGTTAACAAAATAGACACGTTTTTCTTCTGAACAACTCGGGGTTCCACCAGAAACATCAGGGTAACCAGAAGATGAGATTGTCATTACTCTCATGAACTAGAAACACTCCAGCAAGGGCTTCCACTGTCGAAGGCTGAATATTTTACCCCTGTGACCTCACAACCCTAAGTGAGCAGGGATCCTATTGTCTCCTTTCACATATAAGGACACTGAGGCTCCAGGAAATGCCACTGAACTCACATAGTGACACAAGACTATGCAACATGATTTACCCCAACACGGACCCAAGCCCTCAAGGAAGTTCTTGGTGGGGCAGAAATGAATCCCTATGTTCCAAGAGCTTCTGAGATGTTGCTTCCTCACCTCCTGGAAATAAATCAACTCCACTAACCTAAAACTTTCTGTTCCTTTCTTTACTGCCCCCAGAAGAGCAGACTGGCCAGGACACCTACCAGGACTCCCCTGCAAGGTGGCTGTTCTGGATGGAAAACCAGCCCTGCTTCAACAGCTACCACAGAAGGTGCCCCAGGGAAACCTGAGGGGGGCAGTTAGTCTGTGCTTTTTCTTTCCTTGAAACAAAGCCCGTCAACCTGCTGTGGGGCTGCACACAGAATATAGAATACAGAAGCCTCAGAAGAGCCTGGGACTTCCAAGACCAACACACTCTGCTTCTGCCCTTCACAGGAGTGTGAGGGGCTAGGTCCTTCCCAAAGGCAACTCCTTCAAATGTGTATTACACCCAGAATCACTACAGAAGCGTCCTCAGTGGTCTTTAGTACAACTGGGTGGGAGTCACTGATTGTGAATTTCTGCCTTAACAACCCAGGATGAAACGCCCACCAGCAACTGGGAAGAGACACTCATTTCTGAACATCTCCTAGGGCTTTTCCTGTTTCCTATCATTATCGTTTTCCCTTTTTGTACAGTAAATGAAATCCAAGAGTTAGCAAGTCTTCTCATGTGCAGGGACATGGGTAAAAACTGGTAAGCAAGGACACTCACACACACCTCTTAAGCCCTCAGTGTTGAGTACTCACGTGGGGTGCTCCTGCAAATCGAATGGGGGCTCGGTGTTGGCTCATCTATGTGGAGGCAGGTGTTGGACAGTGTATGTAGCAAAGGACTCAGACAGGGCCATGACAGGATGGGTGATGGCAGACAGTGGCCTATTCTCAACACCCAGGACTGAGACCAGGAGTTAGTGAATGTCTATGGCTTTGACAATCACTTCTAAATGGCAAAGGGTCCATGGCAACATAAGTGTGCTGAGAGGTTTCTAGGACCTCAAAGTCTGTGTTATCAACTTGCAAAATGACTTTCTTTCTTCTTCCTTCCTTCCTTCCTTCCTTCCTTCCTTTCTTTCTTTCTTTCTTGACAATTGAAATCTATTTGCTTAGAGCCTTGCTGAATTGCTGAGACTGACTGAACTTGTGATCCTCCTGACTCAGCCTCTCAAGTCACTAGGAATACAGGCATGCACCACCAAGCACAACCTGACCCTCCCTTTCAATTGCAAAAGAATCCTGGATGCAGCAATCTCTCCCAAGCCTCCTACTCCTCAGGAAGCCATAATGTTGTACCTTCCAGATTCCCAAAGGACTTGCCATCAGCAGTGGGGAGCATGGTCAGCAGAGGGCCTCCTGCTGCCAGAGTTCTCAGGGCCTGCTCTGCTGCCAATTGAACTGCCCAAGGGCTTTCCCTTTCCTGGGCAGCCCATATCCAAGTGGCTAGAGAGGTGGGGCACAAAGTCTCCATTTAGCCCAATGAAAGCAACTCTTGGCAGGGCGTATTTGCTCCAGAGGACTGAGGCTTCAGAAGGTCCACCTGGACTTCTCTTCAAACATCTCGCATCCCAAACTCCACCACAGCATTGCCACCAGGAGTCCTGACCCTCAGTACACTTCCCGCCCAGGCTTGCCTGTCTTGCTAAAATCCTCTAAGCCAACTCAATGACACTTCCTGATAAAGAGAGGACACCTGCAGACCTCGCAAACAGGAGGCAAGACCAGACACCAATTCTACAAATTCAGAAAGTCCTAGAAAAACACATGTTGGGGCAATAGAGATAGTTGAGAACTCTCCTTTGACCTTGAAATTTCAGTCCATAAGTATAAGATGCCCTCCTAGCATGCTACCCTATGAAACGGGAGATATGTATGAGGCAGGCCACAGCCCTGCCTACTCTGCCTGGAGGAGACTGAGCTAAGTGACCCTTAAATCAATCTTCACATCTCTCACAACCTAGCACTCTAGCAACCAAATCCAACACACATCACCTTATCCTAGAGGCAGCAAATGACATGAAGTCAATTTGCCATTTGAAGCCTTATTGTTTTCTTCTTATTATTATTATTACTTTTGCTTCATCTGAATGCTTATGTCCCCCTAATATTCATAAGTTGAGATCCTAGTCACTAGGAGGATGGCACTAGGAGGTGGAGGCCTTTGGGGACAGGTTTAGGACAAGCAACCCCAATGAGCTGGCTCACTCCTTCACCTGTGTGAGATACAGGGAGGGGCACCATCTATGAACAAGCCAGTGAACCTGACAGCACCTGGTCTAGCACTTGCCACCTCCAGAACCGTGAGGAAGAAATTTCTTATTTATTTATTTATTTTTTTGCTGGATACACAATACAATTTCCTTTCCCTTAAATGCAAATTAAATTGAAATGTTTGGAAATTTTTGTGATATTCAGTATTGTAAATTGGGTAAATCTTTTACCCTTCTGAAGAGACAAATATCTTTCTAATTCTGTTCCTTTTGAGGCCTGACAAAGGTAGAGCATCAGCTGTTACTAGGCCACACTGCTCAAGATAAGGATGCCCTTGCCAGTACTATATATTTTTCTATATAAAGTCTTAGTGGGAGCCCAAGCTGGGGACTCCCCTGAATATGGTGACCTTTGAACTGGATTGTCCCTTGTGGAGTACAGACTTCTAAGAGAACATGGACCCCCCTGCACACTGAAGTTAGACTCATTCCTTTGCACCTGAGGTACCCCTTGCATGTGCTAAAGAACACTGGTTTAGGGTCAGCTGTATGGATTTGATAAAGACCACACCCACTAAGTAAGAGAGCTCAGGGCTGCCCTGCTGTCCCTTGCTTATCCTGGCCCCTCTTCTTTTCAGTAGACAGGCCTCCTGGTTGTCAGGTACATCTCAAGTTTTAGTGGATTCTCATAAGAGGACACCTGTCAGATAGTGCTCAGAATTACTTAGTGAATGTCCAGGTTCGTGGAAAGTGACTTACATCCAGAAAATTTGAATGCATGAAAAGATTTTGGAGAAGTTGGAGTTCGTTTTTCGACTGACCATAATTTATGAGAAGGAAAGAGAATGGATGAGAGAAGGGAAGAGGGGTAAATCTGGAAGACAGTAAGCACCTAGTTTGAAGCAGAGAAATGCTAAAGTGTGCATGCATTTAAATCATTATGATCTTCAGTTATACGTAGCATTTTCTGATGACACCAAATTTTAGTTGCTTCACATTTCTGTTGCTAAGAAGTCACTGAAATCTCAAACTATGGCATCATAAAATGCTACGTAGGTCAAGATTGTAGCTAGGCGTTGACAGAGTATCATGCAGAGAGAAGTGCAAGGCACCAAGAGCATGCAGAGATCTCAGAAGATCTACAGGGGAAAGAGAAAGTTCACCACGGGACACACATGCACTTCTGGACTTTTGTTTACCTTGGCATAACAGCATTGTGAATACCATATGGATGAGCTTTATGATAACCATTTTCCATACTGTAACAAAAATAAATGACACCAAAACACCACATTATCTCTAAGATGAAGTGTTTACATCATGTATCAAAAAGACAATGTATGGGTCATGAAAGGTACTTGACAATTTGTTAAATCTGCAGATTCCAAAAATGGAAACTACTTCTTCATGGATTAGTAATTTTAACATGTAAAATATTCATTCCTTCAACGAGTATTTTTGAGCACCGTCTATGTTCCAGTCCCCTTTAAGAGGTGTCACGATTTATTTTTACCTAGATGTATCTATTATTTTTATGTCATTTAAAGATATTAATAATTCAACTTTAAAGTCTATTATAGGATAATAAAATCCTCCCCCACCCCATGTATAAATATAATTTTTTAAAAAAAGGATTACGTTTCCGAGCGTACAGTTTTAACATTATAAAATACAAAAAAGGAGAGACAAAATTACTAATTTTCTTGTGACTCTTACAGCTCTAAAGCCACACCCCACACATTTGTACTCCAACATGAATGTTAATAGTCCCATTCCAGAGAGACAGGTTGAGCAGATGAGTGACATGGACAAGAAACACAGGAGATCACCAGACAGAGAGCTCAGGACGGCCTACGTGTGTGTGTGTGTGTGTGTGTGTGTGTGTGTGTGTGTGTGAGAGAGAGAGAGAGAGAAACAAGATGACAGGGGAGGGGAGGGGGAAGGCGTTGAGACTGACTTGGCCACTCAGAAGCTGCATGGTTCCCCTTCAGGAGACTTTTCCTGGGAGACTCCTCAGGAACCAATGGCTGAGCTGCTCCTGACTTTGTATTAGCCTGACCTGCAGAAGGACTTTCCTAGAGGGCTGGGCACCTAATCCATGCACTGTCCTCTTTGCTCCCAAACCTGGCTTTGTCTTCAGATGTGGCAGCAATTGAAATCCTTTGGTGTGAGCACTCATGGAACTCACAGCAACAGAAAGGTACAAGGGGCTCAGGTTAGACTGAATGGAGGCCAATGGGTTCTCCCACAGCTTGTGAAGCCTCCTTCCCACCTGTGCAAGCCCAGAGGACAAGTGGCCCTGGCTGGTTAACAAAATAGACATGTTTTTCTTCTGAACAGCTCGGGGTTCCACCAGAAACATCAGGGTAACCAGAAGATGAGATTGTCATTACTCTCATGAACCAGAAACACTCAAGCAAGGGCTTCCACTGTCAAAGGCTGAATATTTTACCCCTGTGACCTCACAACACTAAGTGAGCAGGGATCCTATTGTCTCCTTTCACATATAAGGACACTGAGGCTCCAGGAAATGCCACTGAACTCACATAGTGACACAAGACGTTGCAACACAATTTACCCTAACTCGGACCCCAGAGTCCTTAAGGAGGGTCTCAGTGGGGCAGAAATTAATCACAACATTCCTAGAGATTCTGAGATGTTGCTTCCTCCCCTTCTAGAAATAAATCAACTCCACTAACCTGAAACTTTCTGTTCCTTTCTTTACTGCCCTCAGAAGAGCAGACTGGCCAGGACACCTACCAGGACTCCCCTGCAGGGTGGGCTGTTCTGGATGGAAAACCAGCCCTGCTTCAACAGCTACCACAGAAGGTGCCCCAGGGAAACCTGAGGGGGGCAGTTAGTCTGTGCTGTTTTTCTCTCCTTGAAACAAAGCCCGTCAACCTGCTGTGGGGCTGCACACAGAATATAGAATACAGAAGCCTCGGAAGAGCCTGGGACTTCCAAGACAACACACTCTGCTTCTGCCCTTCACAGGAGTGTGAGGACCTAGGTCCTTCCCAAAGGCAACTCCTTCAAATGTGTATTACACCCAGAATCACTACAGAAGCGTCCTCAGTGGTCTTTAGTACAACTGGGGGGGAGTCACTGATTGTGAATTTCTGCCTTAACAACCCAGGATGAAACGCCCACCAGCAAGTGGGAAGAGACACTCATTTCTGAACATCTCCTAGGGCTTTTCCTGTTTCCTATCATTATCGTTTTCCATTTTTGTCCAGTAAATGAAATCCAAGAGTTAGCAAGTCTTCTCATGTGCAGGGACATGGGTAAAAACTGGTAAGCAAGGACACTCACACACACCTCTTAAGCCCTCAGTGTTGAGTACTCACGTGGGGTGCAGCTGTGCATCCAGTGGGGACTCGGGTGTTGTCTCATCTATGGTGGAGGCAGGTTTTGGACAGCAAATGTAGCAAAGGGCTCAGACAGGGCTATGACAGGATGGGTGATGGCACACAGCTGTCTGTTCTCAGCACTCCGGTATGAGACCAGGAGTTAGTGAATGTCTATGGCTTTGACACTCACTTCTAAATGGCAAATTGTTCATGGCAATGTTAGTGTGCTGAGAGGTTTCTGGGACCTCAAAGTCTGTGTTACCAACTTGTAAAATAACCCTCTTTCTTTCTTTCTTTTTAAATTTTGATTCACTATTTGCTTAAGGCCTTGCTGAGGTGCTGAGACTGGCTGAACTTGTGATCCTCCTGCCTCTGCCTCCCAAAGATGGGAATGATTTCTGTATGCATTAGTAATTTTTAACATGTAAAATATTCATTCCTTCAATGAGTATTTCTTGTACACCCTCTGTGTTCCAGTCCTCTTTTTCAGAACTGTCAGGATTTATTTTTACCTAGATGTATCTATTATTTTTATGTCATTTAAAGATATTATTAATTTAACTTTAAAGTCCATCATAGGATAATAAATCCTCTCCCATCCCATGTGTGAATATATTTTTTTAAAAAAAGGCTTACATTTCCATGCATACAGTTTCAACACCATAAAATATAAAAAGTAGAGAGAAAATTACTAATTTTCGTGCGACTATTTCAGCTCTACAGCTACACTCTCCACATTTGTCCTCCAATATGGATATTAATAGTGCACATTCCAGAGAGACCCTAACCCTAACCCTACCCTAACCCTAACCCTAACCCTAACCCTAACCTTCCTCCATATTGGAGGAAGTGAGTGACATGAATATGAAACACATGAGATCACCAGACACAGAGCCAAGGACCGATGTCAGGATAGAAAGGAAAATAGTAATAAAAGTTATCATAAAGTGAAATGCCAAGTCCCCGACCGAGAGCAACTGCAAAGGAGAAATGAGAAGACTGGTTAATGAAGTTGAGATTAATTGAGAGTGAAAAGGCATGATTAGCATTAAAACTTAACAAAACCAGGACAGATTTTTTTTTAGAAGAGAGTCAGCTGTAGTCATCTGAGCTCAGATGCAGCAGCTCCTTGAAGTCCTGCCCGGACTTCGACCCCCACCTTCAAGGAAGCTCATGCTTACTCTTCATATACATCCTCTGATTCCATGCGGCGGTAGTGCTTGGCCAGCTTCACAGCGATGATTAGAGCCGGTAGTAAAAGAAAAGTAGCTTTCCCTATGCCAAACCAAAACAAATTCTGGGGAGAAAAAAAAATCAAAAACTTAAATTAAAATTTAAGAAAATTAAATACTTGAAGATGGGCAATGGAAAATAACAGCTGCTTATTAGAAAATATGTGTTTTGCAATCTTTTATAAATGAATCTTCATTTTGTTCTTTAAATTTATTTGTGAATGTAACATGAACCAGCCATTGTCTGAAGGGCCACATGCTACAATCCAGTTTGTTTTTCTGAAAACTTTGAGTAGATCCTATATTTATTATATAATTACATTTATTTTCCAGACGACAAACAGAAACAGCCAGCAGTGTAGCCAGGATTTCACTTAGGACACTCCAGGAAAACTCCAAGTCTCGACCTCCACAGCTCCCTTGGATGCCCCAGCTGTACAGCCTGCAGGATGGCCAGCTGTCCGGTCTGAGTCCACACCCCTTCTCGGAGCTAGACTCATGAAACTTTCTCGCTTTGATCTGCGTCTGAGCAGTGGAGGCGCAGCAGCCTCACCCCATAACACAACTGTGTCAACAAGACAGAAGCAAAGCTGGCCACACACCAGCGTCTCAAGAGAAGTCTTGTGTTTCATGTTAACCACCCTGAAGGTGGGCCACAGGCTGAGTTCAACCATGTTTTACTTAAAAAGCAAAATTAAAGTGTCCTTTAAAAAACAGTTGCCAATATTTATAAGTCAGATCTCACACATAAACCTGAACTTAATGTCTTTTCTTGAAAAATCTGAGATTGCATTTCATATCCTGGACCCTTTTGCCCATGAGACAATAGCCAACAGCAGAAGAGTCATGCTTCTCCCTCAAGAGCAGCATTTGCCCTCCTTTGGGCACAGACCATGTCATCCTTTGAAGAGTGAAACCCCAAGTACCTTAATGTTACCAAACAAAGCAGTAACAGCTATGCACAGTGTGACCCTGTGGTACACACAGGCTGGTACCACTTCTGATCAGCATCCTTCTTGGTTGGCCTTGTAAGCCTGCACATTCCAGGCTCCTATGGAAGTTCAAGTCTGAGCCCTGCCTCGGGACAATGCTGCAGGACCACCAGAGCAGCTTCCCCAGCCACCATGAGGCAGAAGGCAGCTGGGACACCAGCCTCCACCTGCTGTCCCAGCCTGGCCAGGCAGCATTATTGCGCTCCTGGATGAGCTGGCTGTTGTTTTTGGTGGCATCTCCCTGGCCTCTAATTTCCAGGCTTTCCAGTCTTCTGACAGCCACATCCATTCCCTGGAAGCTTCCTAAATCCTTTGAGGAGTGATCAAGATACTAAAGAGACATGGTGGCCAACCTGCATCTATTCTGTTGGTGCAGTGGGGTTCCCAGAGCTCTTCCTCGCTGTACACCACCAGCAGCAAAGATCCAGCCTGTTATCCCCTGAGCAGCCTCTAGACCTCTCCTTTTTCTGCCCCAGTCTTTGCAGAGAGGCATCTAGAAGCTGGGTGATTTGCCTGGTTGGTGATGGGAGATGGAGAATGGACCAGGAAGAGGTCAATTCAGAATCAATCAGGTGAACCCAGGACTGGCCTAATGAGGACTTCCACAGAAGCTGGCAGCAGGGGCCACCAAACACAGGACAGACGGGGCAAGAAGTTGCCACGGGAGGTAAGCAGCTAAGAAGCCATGGCCTGGGGTGCCAGAGTGGAAGGATCATTCCCCTCGGGTCTATGCAAGTCCAGCCAGCAAATGAACTTGTGAGCAGGGAAGAGGGAGATGGAGAAAGAGAGCAGGGATGCACCGAGTTCTCTGATCAGCATGCCTTAGGAATGCTCTGTGCCAGCAAAGGGCACAGCAGCGCCCTCTGTCGTGCAGTTCAGTGTAGTGTGTGTTGCAGAGGCCAGATCTTGGAGATACACACTGGTGCGTAATTCAACAGCAATTATATTTCTCAGGAAAAGCATAGAATTCTGTGGGAATGTGGAAAAGGGATCCTGTAAGTTTGGAGGATCATAAAATCCTTCCAGAGAAAAGGATACAGTTCAGAAAACTGAACAACAAAGGACTGCTAACAGCTACAGAGGGTGTTCATGTACCAGTAATGGTGTCAAGGGCTTTACATGGAAGGTAGCTGAACCATCCAAACAGCCCCATTCGGGTGATGAAGCTCAGGAAATGTCAATGGTGTTTCAAAGTCAGAGTTCAGAAAGGGTAGAAGTGGCATTTGAATTCAGAGTCCATGTTCTCAACCTCTGCTAACAGATCTGAGAAGTTAGTCCAATGCATAGGAAGGGTGGGGAGAAGAGAGAAAGAGAGAGGGAGACGGTCTGCAGACCGGAAGTTGGGCATGTGCAAAGGCCTAGAGGTGGGGAACTTTGAAGAAGTGAAAAGAATTGAGCATGTCTGGAGCCCAGGGAGAAAGGTGGGAAGCAGCACATAATGTGACCTGGGTGGGCAGGACGCCATCGTGCTAGGCTGGCGTGTTCTCTGAAGGGTGCTGGCCTTCATCGTGGTAGCAAGGGGAAACCACCACGGCACTCTGAGCAGAAGAAGCAAGAGAATCTGCCCACAGACAGGGTCAGTGCAAGCTGAGGGTGAACAGAGGCGAGCAACAAATTTGATAAACCGAATCTGCCGTCCTAGGTGTCACATGTTAAAGCAATTTTAAAACAAAAATGAAGCCTGGATTTTAGCACTGGGCTTGTGCAGAAAGTCACATGAAGAATCTCCTGATATTAGCTATCAGCACAGCAAGGAGTCTTCCTTTCTGATTGTTCCCACCAAGAGGAGTCTCCCAACTTCCAAGTGTGATTTTAGTAAGGAACGAGTAGCTGTAAACAGGACTGTCACTGTTTTGGTCTACTGGGTATCATAACACACTGATCTAAATTTTAGGGTTTAGGATTTGGGTTCTAAACCAAAATAAACCCCAACAGAAAACTAATATAAACAAATATTATAGTGTATTTCCATCTGGAGGGAAACAATCAAGATGATGGGTTTAACACGTCTGCTTTTGGAAGATGGAGTTCTCACCAGAGGGTCCACAATGAAGCCACACAGAATCACTTTAAAAGCAGAATCCATGGCGGTGGCCACAGGCTTGCAGGGCACCATCTTCTCAGTGACCTATGGAGGTGAGGGACATGGAAAAACTGAGTGAGCAGATCACCAAACCCCACAACGATTAGACCCTTGTGGCCCGTCTCACATAAGGACCTCCATTCCTCGGAGTTTCGGAGCTGACTGGGGGTTTGTGCGGATGAGTCCCACAGGTGTGAATCCAAGTACTTCAAAGCAAGAACCTTGTTCTCTCTGAGCCTCAGTTTCCAGTTTCCTCAAATGTTATGTGAACTAGAGGACCCACCCTTCAGGGTTGCTGAGAGAACTAAAAGCACACATGTCCAGCAGTGGTTTAGACTGAATTTTTAGTCTGATCCCTTTGTTATATGACAAAGGGGGTGAGAAGCAAATGGAGGAACCCATGTCACAATGGTGTGCCAAGGGACAAGAGGGGATTTGGGAGGGGGAAGGGGCTCCCACCTGGTGGGCTGGTCTCAGAGGTCTTGGTCTCCACACTTCAAAGCCCTTCTACTTGGTGTCAGTCCAATCACCAGGAATTCAACCTCACTTCCTCCATATTTTACCCTAGACAATGACTGTCTTAGGACACCCCATTTATGTTCATAGAAGGTCAACTACTTACAGCCAGCTCCACCCACTCTAGGTAGTGTTCAAAATATCGTAAGATTTTTTTCGCAAATTTCTTCGTTTCCTAGAAAGAAACCGAAGATCAGTAATGCCACTAAAATGATGACAGCATACTCAAACACCACAGAGACTTAATTATGGAAAGCTCACAGGCCCATTTATTGATTGGCTTATTTTAAGAAAGAAAACTCACTTCCACAATAACGGAGGAAATATCGTTTGTTATGAAGATCTGAACAGAATCCAAAGATTGCAGAATCTTGGTCACTTTCTCCTGGAAAACAGACTAGTAATTAGAAGGGGATCAAGTGATAAGAGGAATTAAACAGACAATATGAAAATCAATTTGAGTGCAGCTGTCCCTGGGAACACTGATTTCAAGAGCCCCTGCGATAGCAAGTTTAAAGATCTTCAAGTCCTCACGTAAAATGGCAGGTGACCGACACATCCCACACCCTCCCATATACTTTAAGTCATCTCCAAATTACTTATAACGCCTGACACGATGTAAATACTATGCAAATAATCGTCACTGTATTTTTTAGGGGACAATGAGAAGAAAAACAGTCTGTATACGTTCAGTACAGACTTAGTTATTTCCCCCAAATATTTTCCGTTCTGTGGCTGGCTGGACCTGCAGATTCAGACCCCAGGGATCCGGACAGTCAGTAGTACTGGTGCCCCAGTCCAATGCCACCATGACCTGGCCCAGTCACCTGAGGTAGGGGAAGGAGAAGAGCCAAGATCAAGCATTTGGGGGTCAGCACTGGAGTGGAGCCTTCATAGGACTTCCTTCTAGGAGAACTCACAGCAAAGTGGGCAGGAGGGTGCTGCTGGCCACTGTTCCCGGAGTAGGTGGCTGACGACCTCAAGACCACCAAGCTGAGAACATACTAAGGTGTAGGAATTTGCCTGCACTGTCATTCCAAGATAGCACTGTGGCCAACCTGCATGAGACCTTGGTGCAAAATCTGAAAAAGGGTTCCTTTGCCCAAAGTGCTGAGCAACACAGCCTGACAAGTGGGTCACAACTGAGTCCTGGCCCTAGTGCTCCCTGGGCTGGGCCCCATGAATGCAACCCCAAACTGCATGCACTGCTGCTCCGAAGGGAGCAAAGGGCCTGTAGCCAGCAGGGTGTCTCTTGGGGTCCCTTGGCAAGGGATAAAGCATGATGAAATGGCCCCAGTAATTGGAGGTGTAGGGAGGGTCCTAGTGCAGAGTAAACCTGAATGTCTTCAGAGAAAGTGAGTCCTGGTATTGGTGAAGGAAGGAACACTGAGATTTTCACTGTGGGGCTCATAGCCAAAGCCTTTTGTGGGCAGCCTACCTACTCAACAAGGAAATATTTTCTTCCTTATTGAGTTGCTTGTTGGCATTTTGTATACAAGATGAATATAGCACAGCCATAGAGCTGAGTTTCTGTTGTGGGTGTGTTTGTGGCTAGGGTACCCTTGCAGTAGAGCGCAGCAACTGTTCCAGACGACTGACACCTTCTCAGGCATGACTTCTCAGGGCTTAGAGCACATAGTTGGCCTTCCAAATTCACAGATTTTGCATTTGGGGATTCAACTAATCTTTTTGAGAAAAAAGTATATGGAACACATATGAGATTGTTTTCTTGTTATTATCCCCTAAACATTACAGTATAATAACTATTCATATAGCATTTGCATTGCGTTGAGTAGTCTTAGTAATCTACAGAGAATTTAAAGTATATGAGAAGATGTGCAGAGGTTATATACAAATACTGTGTATGCCATTTTATGCAAGGGACTTCACCACTCATGGGTTCTGATGTCCATGGAGGGTTCTGGAACCAACCCCTCCCCCAGTGAGAGACAACTGTACTTCTCTGCTCTGACCATGATGATCATGGGTGTGGCCATGTGACTTGCTTTGGCCAGGGGAACATGACAAAGCAGAATGTGCTAGTTCTAACCAGTATCTTAAAACACAACTGGGTTCCTGTCACCCCAAACTCATGTACCCACTAAGAGCATGTGAGGTGGCCACGACAGGGGCTGCTCCTTCAGGCTGCCTATCTAAGGGGGGAGATAAGTTGAGCAGCCTGTGAGCAGCCCAGCAGTGAGATGGATGCAGTTAGAGGGCACTGAGCCTTGACACTGGTTTGCTAGGCATCGATAGCTCTGTGAGATTGCCCCATGTTACCTTCTAAGTTTCTACGCATCAAAATGGATTTCAGTTCTATAGACAACCTGCTAGGAGAGGTCAGCATTTATGGAAGCACAAGTAGAAGGGAAATGGTAGGAAAACCCAATTGGGTATTTAGATGGGTACATACCTGAGACTTTCTTTAAAATTTAAAGTACTTGTAAAAATCAATGTCTCTGAAATTCTATGCATGGTATTTAATAACAAACCCTGTGACAGAAAAACAAAATGCATCCTTGCCTTTAGTCCCCCACTTGTGTGTTGAAGTATCTTGATATTTTTTTGTACATCATCCTGGTGAAAAAACAGAAAATATTGTCAAAACTATTAAACAAGGGAGCAAGAACACATGGCATGTGTCTCCTCGCTCCCCATAATAGCCATCAATCTGATCTTACACTGCAAAGGTCTCATTCTAGAAAAACCAACACGTAACGATGTGTACCTGGTGTAAGAAATCAGGATACTTGTTCAAAAGCTTGGAAAGGGTGCAGATCACATGCAAGGTGCCCAAGAAATGCCTTTGAACTGATTTGATCAAAGTGGAAGGCATTTAAAACACAGCCTGCCCTACAGTGTGGCACCCCTGGATGATTTTGGTTTGGGGTGGTAAACTTATGAAGGGCTGGAGAGTGAATGAATATTTTGGGCTTTAGGCAATGGCCTGTTCCAACAACTCCACTTTACTTCACCTTTATAGCCAAGAGGAGCCACAGACAGTTTGGAAATAACTGGGCACCACCGTGTTGCAATAACTTTGTTTACAAAAGCTGGCAGGATTTGGCCTTCAGACTGCAGTTGGCTGACCCCCTTGTCTTTCTGTGGACAAGGTGCCCTAACTCTGAAAAGGCCAAGGGGTCCTGTCTGCTTGACGACAAGCTGCAAAAGCAGTTTCTAATGTTAACAGATTTGTTCTGATCTGAACACAGATAGCAGAACAGAGTGATGAGCACGGCACACAGGAAAGTGAGCTCCTCCGCAGGAAGACGCTGCGCATCCTCCATGGAACTAGGAAGTCAGAAGGCAGAAAAGAAGAGAGAGACCGAGACAGAGAAAAAAAACTCCATCAGGAAGGTTCAGATGTCAGAGCAGATAGACCTAATCCCCGTCTCCAGACTTGAGCAACCGACCTAGTAACCCAGTTTCCACACAATTCCCGCCTTGACAGCTGCGAGTATGACCCATATGCAAGTCTAGTAACAACTCTTTGATTCCTGAGTCCTCTGAGGTCAGAGGTCTGACATCTCCATGAACCAGAGAGTAGCAATGCAGGAATCTTTCCCACCCTTGTTATATCTCATTTTTTTTTTTAATATTCTGTTTTTAGATGCGGAAACTGAGATACTATAGTTTTTGGAGATGCAGAAGCAGGCCCTGAAGCCAGATCTTCCTGGTTCCAAAGTCCTTGTTCTGCCTCTGCTACAAGCCTGCCTTGATAGTCTCAAGCAATGAGACAGGTCAAGAGGGATGGGAAAGAGAAGAAAGGCAGCAATGGCCATCAAGACAGTAACAGAGCAGACAGGACACAGGAAGAAAAGCACTTACCCTCACTTTCACATATTTCTAGGCAGAGTTTGGAGAGAAAGAATTAGAGAATATATGAGATTAAGTCCAGAGCAAAATGATCAGCACCTGATGTGCTAGACACCTGGCTTTGGAGGGTGTGTTAACAGCAATGGATACCACAGCAAGGAGCGGGGGCCAGGCACAGACCAAAGCTAACTGCTCACACTCCACTGGGAAAATGAGAAGAAAATAAGATTTAGGGGTGGTGTAATTTAAGTTTTGTGCTCTTCAAAGCCCAGCTCAATTGGTGAGGCTGAGACCAGTTGGATGAGACCTCCATGAGATGTGCATGTGGCCTCAGACTAGGTCTAAGTCAAGGAGGTGCAATCCATTTTGCTGAGGTCACCATTATATCATAGGTAGCTGATGGTTACCTGTGTCTTCTCCATGGGAAGGACTTGATCCTGGTGAATTTTTCTAATAGTTTGCGCTTCTGACTTCATGGACTGCTTTAATTGTCCGGGGGGCTACAAAGAGAAAATAAGTCAAGATCCACAGGATCCTTCCAGACTCTGGCAGCTGTAACATAAGCACATGGCTCTCCTTAGGCAATGGCGGCCACGGGTGGGCACAAGGGCTGGCGGAAAGGGGCAGCACAAAATATTCTGTTTCGGATCAGAACCATGGACTCGGCAATACCTGCACTCATGAGCCCTCTCTGAGTGCCAGAGACTGGGTTCCCTCACCACTGCCCTCAGGAGGCGGAGCCACCATTGGTTTCTCTGTTTTACAGATGAGAAAACCAAAGTTCAACCGAGAGCTTTATATTTAACCCACACTTAAAATGGGTTTTGGCATGCCAACTATAAGAATCCCATAAGTACTATTGCCCTCATTTGCTAGATGGGGAAACTGAGGCACAGAGGGTTGAAATACCTTGCTCAAGCTCCTACCATTGGAAAGAAACTGAGTCAGGGTTTAAACCTGGGTTTTCCTCCAAAGCCCACGTTCTCATCACCATGGTCTGATGCTACAAGGGGCCAGTGAAGGCCATGCAGTCACCGACCAGCGGAGGTGATGACGAAGCAGAGTCTGTGGGCCCACTGGGGCCTCTGCCCTCCTCAGCCACTTCTTGCTGATGAGGCAGCAAAGCAACCCATGGGACTTCTCCGTCCTCTCTCTGTTCCCTACGCTGCAAGGAAAGTGACGTGTGTGTGCTTGCACATACAGAAGCACATGTGCTCACACTTGGGGGTCTGAGGGTGAAGGAATCGGTGGGGATGGAGGTGGGCCCTGGAAACTTCCAGCGACATCGGGGCCAAACAGCAATGACCACTGAGGGCAACTTTCCACATGCACAGGAGGGGCGGTCAGCAAGGCTGGACTCACTCACAGTGAAAGGGACCTCTGCGGCAGCTTCCCTCTTGGTGGCACTGACATTAGACACCTACACTGCTACAGCACTTAACCCAACTATGTGAACTCACCAAACGGTCTGCTTTTGTATCCAGATCATATGAAAATGATAAAAGATTCACTTTCCCAGGAGAGGTTTTACTCTACAAAAGAAATAAAAAATTTGTGTTATGGGATTTTTAATCCTTAACGACATCTAATAGATTGAAGAAACTCCTCCATAGGTGACATTTGCATTTTAATTTATACCCATTATTTTTATTTAACCATAGAAAAGAATAAAATGCCAACACATGCTAAGACATGGGTGAAAACATGCTATGTGAACCTCAAAATCAAGCTACACACCAAAGGCCACTTCTTGTATGATTCATTTACATGCAGTATCCAAATAAGTCAATCCATAGAAATGGAGCACACATTGATGGCTGCCAAGTTGAGGGGAACGGAGGAAGACTGTTAATGGGCATAGCTTTTCTTTTGGGGTGATAAAAATGTTTTAGAATTAGGTAGAATAAAATGGTGTGACAGTGTGAATATACTAAACGTCACTAAGCCGCACAATTTAAAATTGCAATTTATACTCTGAATCTCTTCTCATTTAAAAAAAAAAAAAACAACGCTAAAAAACAAAGTACACACATTCGGTGCCCTACTTTCTCCCCCAGATCACACAGGCATAAGTGGGTGATACCTGAGCCAAGAGGGTGTCATAATCTATATTGTCTATCCCACTATTAGAGAATTCCTTGAGGTTGTTTTTTCCTTCCTCATTCAGAAGAACAATGCCACCAAGTTTTATATCCAGACGTTCAAGTTGATTGTTTATGTTGTCAGTATGCTGATGAAACAAGATGTGGAAACCAAGCCATTACTCTCCAAGCATGTCAAGTACTTAATGCTTTAAAAGGGCAATAAAACTATGCAAGAATATACATACATACATATACACACATACATATGTCTGTTTACACATACAGACATGGTATATATTCATACATGGGTGCGTATTTATACCTATATTTGACTGGGATTTCTTTCTCCCCTGCCTCCATGGCTTCTTATATCCTGTGGTAAGCACTTTTCAAGTACAAAGTAAAATAAGATCTCATCTCCCTGTCAAAAAGACCTCAAAAGGAAGAGGCTGTGTCATAAGAGGGGCACAAGAATTCCATTAGGGCACCAGGGAGAGAGGAGTTCAAGAAAAGAGGCTGGAAGCACAGAGAGTAGAGAGGAGGTGGCTTTGGAGCACCCAGGCTTGACCAACAGAGATGCTGACAGGGACAGGTGGGCAGGCATTCCAGGGAAGGGACCGCCTTGCTCTAGAGCTGGGCAAGAGAAAGACATGGGAGACGTCTTCTGGGAAACAGTGTTTAGTTACTTGGGCAAAGGTCATGGGAATGCGGTGGTTGACCTGGGGTTGACTTAGTAGCCCATCAGTAGTTTCAGAAGTCAGGGAGTGCCTCAGTGTCCCAGCGACACTCTCAACTGCTACCCAGCACAGCACAAGGAAAGTGGCCCATGGCATGATGGACAAAGGGGAAGAGGACACCTAATTAGGATTTGGTGGCAAATTCACATTTTATTTATGGACAATAAGCAATATTTAGGGAAGAGAATCAAAACAAAATTCATATGCAGGTTTTGAATTAAAGCTCTTTACATTTGAAAACTGTCAGGTCATCATGACCCCATGGTCTCTCTACTGGCCTGCCAGAGCTGCAGGACTTGGTGAATGCCTCTTCCTTAAGTTCTGCCTGGAATCTGCTCTCGTGCTGGAAGCCCAAAAGTAAGAGGATGACATTCTTTCCTGCACAACCAAGAAGGCCAGAGGAGGCTTCCAGGCACAGGGGAGTGGAAGGGTCTGGGCTAACAGCACTCCAGACTGGGGCAGTGGGACTCTATTCCTCTTTCTTCTGACCAGCATGCCCTGGAATGGCGTTTTCTTTGAGTCTTAAGAGTCAAGACTGGGGCGTGGGCTGAAGCAAAATGGGAGGGAAGTCGTTCTATCTGGCTTGCTTCCATCCTTCCTTCTTGCCATGGTTCAGCAGAGACAACCCTGCAGTCCTGGGGCCACAGTGTGATCATAAGGAATAAGGATGGTGAGGACTGTTCCTCCCAATCCTAGGACCTGTCAGACAAGGGGTGATGGTCTTGGAGAACCAGCCTCCCTGGGAAGCAAGTGGGGGTTGCTTTCATAGGAACATCTACGTTGAGTGAAGTGGAATCTCTCCCTGGGACATGTCCTAAGTGAGGCCTCTTGGGAGGCTCTTGCATAAAAAATCAAAGACCTCACACTGCAAGAAAGATAACTGGTTGGGGTGAGAAAATGTTTTGAACTGGATAAAGGTGAAGATTGCCTAACACCGAACATATTAAATGTCCCTTTAAAGTGGCTTGTTTTATCTTTTGCAGATTTCACAGCAATTTTAACAAAAAGAAGGAAAAACAACTGGATTTAGTAAAACAATGTGTCAGGTCCAGAACTGGTTTCTAAGGACTCACCTTGTGAATGTTGAGACTCTCGCTGATATTGAAGCGGTTCTCGAGTTGAAGTGTGGAATAAATTCCTCTGTTGTTTTTGCAATTGCTGTGGGAGCAAACATAGAAATCACGACCCAGAAAAGCAGCATGGTGACCTCAGTCCATATCTGAGAGTGAGGAGGGAGTTAACTGTTTCTTGCTGTGCAATCTGTGACTGAGTGGGTTCAGGTTATCACCCATAGCCACGTGAATGGCTGGCACCTGCCACTCCTGACTTATTTTCCTCTTTTGTTAACAGTCCAAATTTTGGAACAGATACAATAGCACTGATGAATGTGTCCTTGCACCTGTCTCCTTTACACTGTTGTCTGTACTGCTGTGCACAAATTTACAAATTGGGAAGAAATAAATTCTCATGAAAAAATACAAAAATAATACTCACTAGAAAGAGGTGCATTGTAAAGTGCATCATGGGCTTTATTAAAAGATTCTATCAAGTCCCTGTCAAGAATATTTCCCCTTCCTATTTCCAGGGCTGGGCTATATTGATTGACTAAACATATGCTTTGACATCTATTCTAATGGTGAGGACCCACAGACATCCAGACTTTTGGTGCTGTTTGCCCATAAAACTAATCTGGCCACCTGGGTGAAATGTCCTCAGCTCTCCATGCTTCAATCCCATCTCTAAAATGGGGAAGTGCTTATCTAACTGAGCTAAGGATAGGGCTGGTAGGATTCATATCCCTGCCGCACAGAGAGTCACATAATAGGGAAGTGTCTTCCTTGCCACAAGAGCCAGTGCCCTCTGCCCCTGCAGGATGCCATGAGCAGCAATTTGCCCACATTCCTAGGAAGTGTGATACCTGCTCCAACAACCAGGTGGTGCTGTTGGAACCCAGAGCTCCATGCACCAACAAAGGTAATATTGCAGAGTTCTGCAAGAGCCGGTCACAAATTGCTGCATGCCAGTAAAGATGCTAGGCCTTGCCTCCCAGCCTGGGGATGGTGAGCAGGCTGAATTGTGCACAGAGGTTCCAATGGGTTGATAATGTCTGCTTAGAGTTTGCTATTGAGAAAGACCCTGAGTCTCCCTGGGTTAAGCTGAAGAGTATACAACTGATTAACAATCTGAGTACAGGTTGAGAGGGGTGGATGCATGCACCACTTGTTTGTGACCTCAGCTGGTGGCACTGTGGAGCTGCTGACATTAAGGCGGGAAGTGATCTGTTTGGTTGGGTCACATCACATTCCCAGACACTTGCAGGATGAAATGGGAAGCTGCAAGCAAGGAGAGGAGACAGATTTAAGGAAGATTTAGAAGGTCAATTCAACTCACTCGGCTATGATCTCACTGCCAAGGAGAGGGTGTCCCCCTCTTTGGAGGTGCAAAGAGGCAAATGACAAAAAGGTTGAAAAAAACAAAAAGGGCTGGGCGCAGTGGCACATGACTGTCATCTCAGCAGCTCAGGAGGCTGAGGCAGGAGAACCACAAATTCAAAGCCAGCCTCAGGACTGGGGTTGTGGCTCAGAGGTAGAGCGCCTGTCTAGCACACATGAGGCACTGCGTTCGATCCCTGGCACCACGTAAAAAAAAATAAAATAAAATAAAGGTATTGTATCCATCCACAACTAAAAAAAAATTAATAATAATAAAAAAAAACAGCCAGCCTCAGCAACTTGTTGAGACCCAAAGCAACTTAGTGAGACCTTGTCTCAAAATTAGTAAATAAATAAAAAGGGCTAGGGATGTGGCTCTGTGGTTAAGCACCCCTGGGTTGAGTCTCTGGTACCCCTCCCCCCAAAAAAAGTTTTCCATTATGCAGGAGAACAATTTGTGGCACGTCACCACAGCAGCAAGTAAAACCCTAAAGATTCCAGAAGGTTTTAAAGGTTTAGAGAAATCTGTGTATCAGACAGGAGCTTAAATGTGCTGATGAACAATCATAAGTAAGAACAGGTATTTTGCCATGATTTGTTCTGTTTATGTGGTGCTGGGGATTAAACCCAAGGTCTCGCATGCTAGGTAAGGGCTCTCCCGCTGAGCCACACCCACGCCTATTGTCATGTCTTTATAAAGTGTCAGGTACTGTTCTAATTTCATGTATTTCACTGGACCCCAAAAGACCCAAGGTGAGATTTCTGTTGTCATGATCCCTACTGAATGGAGAGGAAGTAGAATTGCTCAAGGTCACAGGGCCCCCAGCTGCAGAGAAAGGATGGGAGCCTAGGTGGCCTCACTGCAGGACCAGCCCTGTACCTGCATTGTTGTTGTTGTTGTTGTTGTTATTATTATTATTTTGGTACCAGGGATCGAACTCAGGGGCCCTTGACCACTGAGCCACACCCCCAGTCATTTTTTCTATTTTTTTTTTTAGAGACAGAGTAGTCTCACTGAGTTGCTTAGTGCCTTACTTTTTGCTGAGGCTGGCTTTGAACTCATGATCCTCCTGCCTCAGCCTCTCAACCGCACCCAGTCTTGCATTGTTATTATCACAGCTGTGATTTGGACACATTCACTGATTCTCACAGGTTCCTGTTAATGCAACATAGGGTCACCTTCTCCAGGGAACCCCAAAGATACCTGGAGATAAGGGCCTTAGGCATCATCATCTCCAGGTTTCAAAGGCTTTCAGGGAAGAATTCTCTTTGGGGCCTCATTTCTACAATCTCTTTGCTAAGTCTAGAGGACAGCTTAGCTCTGAAACTGAAAAGCCTTATGAGTAAGGTAAAAAGAAACAGATTGAAAGCAAAATTCTTATCTGAAAAAAAAATTTAAATAGCAAAACATACAATGCAATTATTGGTACCTGTAAATTTGTTCAAAAGTGAGCTCAATATCTGGTTTTTTAAGAACCATGCCAGAGATGTAGTATTTCCATTCCTTGTTTAGTAAGTAGGGGGTGTCCAAAATCTAGAAAAAGTGTTAAATTTTTTTATATTAACATGCATACAAATATCAAAATGAATATTCTCTAAATTATTTTTAAGATTTTTTTATATCACAATATTTCTCTTTAATCTCCAGCCTGAAACTAGAAAATAATAGTGTACCTGGAATAAATCAATTGACCACAGCCTTGATAAAAATTATGAAAATTACTTTTTTTGAGAACTCAAATTTATTTAGTAAACACATTAGAAATGAGAGTAACATAGACCATTTGATTGAAACTAGCCAATATAAAGTCATAAAGTGGGGACACAGCTTCTTCACGACTTCCCTCTGGACACAGTAAATGAAGACTCACATGCCTTCTGACTCTGGACCACATATATTTATGTGCATGGCCAGGTATTTGCCTGGTAAGAGCAGGGTAAGAGGATCCCTTACCTGAAATGTTTGGGACCAGAAATTGTTTCAGTTTCAGATTGTTTTTTGACTTTGGAATATCTGTGTGTACAAAATGGGGATGGAACACAAGTCTAAACACAGAATTTACTTGTTTTACATACTCCTTGTACACAGAGTCTGAGAATAATTTTTAAAATATGTTCAATGACTTTGTACATGAAAAGTTTCATGGTGTAAAATTTTCCCCTTGTCAAATTTTGGATTTTGGAGTTTTAGATTGGGGATGCTCAATCTGAATAAATGATTTTAAAATATCCTCTAATTTTAAAGAATTACGCTAAAGGATTCAACACTGCACAGGAGATAATAAATCCTGGTTTGATGTCTTGTTATTTTTTATTAAGAAGCCAAATGGAGATAATGTGATCATCAATCAACTCAATTTAACTTCTCTTGACTAACTGAACTGCCAAAACACCAATGACAAGTGGCTGCCTTTGTAGTCATTTACTGATTTCATCTCACCTGATTTGAGATGAAAAATAGACATACAATTGAAGAAGGAAATAAAATTGTATTTTAAAAATCAGAATTGGCCCATACTTAAAAAAAAAAAAAAATCAGTCTGGAGAAAAACACTGGGAAGTCTAAGTTAGAAGCCAGACCAAGGTATATACAAAACCTTATTAGTTAAAAAAAAAAAAAAAAAAAAAAACCATGAAACTACCATCTGCATCCCAGAGTCAGGGGAAGCTGGTCTTAGAGAGAAAAAGTGAAAGTTGAATTTCATTCCTTGACTGCCATCATATATCCACCTGGGACGACCCTCTGCCATGGGGTGTATCTTATTAATCTCTTTCACTTTGAATTTAGGGCCATGAACCATGTGATATCTTTGTCACTTGGGAAAAATCTACAATGTCACAAACCTCAAGAAAGGTGAGGGAGGAACCTTGGAGTTTATCTCCTGATGGTCTCAGCCTCCTTTGGAAACTACTGCTAAGAAGAATTTTACTCTCTCAAAATACTACAATCCACATCAATGTGCAAGTCTTAACTCCTGAAACTGACTTCATTTACAATCAGAAAATGAGAATACTATTATATGTATGTATTATATTACTATGTATGTATCTTTCTGTGTGTGTATGGGTGTGTGCTTTTTGGTCTTGCAAATAGAATCAACTTGTTGAATTAAAAGCAAACTACTCAGCAGGGTGCAGCGGCGCATGCCTGTAATCCCAGTAGCTCAGTAGGTCCAGGAGGAGGATTGCAAGTTCAAAGCCAGGCTCAGCAACAGTGAGGCTCTAAGAAACTCAGTGAGATCCTGTCTCTAAATAAAATAAAAAATAGGGCTGGGGATGTGGCTTAGTGGTTGAGTGCCCCTGAGTTTAATCCTTGGTACCCACGCCTGCCACCCCCAGAAAAAATAGCAAACTCCTCATGTTTTTGGTGGCGAGACACACTCACCACCAAAACCATGACCACTGCTCTTCAAGTAACCCACAAGACATGGAGAAACCCAAGTGTCCATTCGAGTCCTCCCACCATGAGTAGAAAAGCATATTTACCTGGAATATCTTCCCATTTGCATAAGGTTCACAGATCAGTTTTTCCATATTCACACCAGGAACAAAAGAAAGAACCACAAGGATCATCACTATCCAGCAAAAGAGGAAACAGAATCCAACTCCACTGGGAAAAAACAAAAACAAAAACACAGATGATAAAGTGAGTAATTCTGCAAGGAATTTGTCTGTATTACCTAGCAGTGCTTACTACCTGGTCAGTGTACAAAGTGGACCTGTTCCTCTGCATTGTGCAGGTTAACCAGATCAGCCCGCCTGGGGGTGGGGAGGGAAGGGATCAGCACTGTGGTCTTTCTGTCCTTGGCAGACCATAGCAGACCAGAATGCTGTCTAGCATTATGGGCTAGAGCCTGGGCTTTGGCGTCAGTTGAGAACCAATCCTTTCTTCAAAGGATACAGTAGGGTGAGAGATTCTAAGCAGAAAGTGTCCCCTTGAGAGTCTGAAAGGGACCAAGATAACTCTGCATCCACAGGAAAGGTGGAGAATGGCGTCAACAGCAGCTCCAGAGGTAGGGAGGGGTGAACTGAATGGGGCCTGGGAAGAACATAGCCTGGTTTCTCTAGTAAGGAGAGCACTCTTGGTGCAGGGAGAAGGATGGGTTGGACAGGCATCAGCCCAGATGGGACACTGCTGATGGAGAGAAACCAGTGGATGAAAGGGATACAGGAGTCCAGAGGCAGCAAGAAAGCATAAAGGTGGGGAGGGGCCCCAGGGTGGTGGCAGCGAACACTGAGGCACCCTACAGGAAGAGAAGGTGAGAAAGATGTCAGTGATGTTTCCTGCTGCAGTGAAGATGTCAGGTAGGAGTTCAACATGTGTGTGCAGTGCAGACTTCTGGCTACAGAACACCTCAGGAGTCAGCAGCTTAGAGAGAAACATTTATCTGGGAAGAGAGAAGCCACCACAGATTGCTCTCCTGCATAATGAAAACCTTATTTATTTATTTATTATTTCCAGGGATTGAAATCCAGGGGCACTAAACTACTGAGCCACATACCCGGCCCTTTTTATTTATTAGTTTATTTTTGAGACAGGGTCTTGCTAAGTTGCTGAGGCTGGCTTTGAACTCATGATACTCCACTAGGATTACAGGTGTGCGTCACCACACCTGGCTGGGGATCTCTTGAAACATACTATCTCCAGTGCCTCATTATTATACATCGAATCACAAAAACACACCCCTGCTTAGGATGCTTCTTTCCTAGTTTGGTCTACTTCCTTGCCAGAGGTTCTCTAAAATAAGAATTACTGGGCAAAGGGCATTTTGGTCTTCCCACTGCCACCAGCCACACAGATGTGCCCCTTCCTTACGCTTGTGGTTGCCCATAATTCTAGGTGATGGGGACACTGTTTTCAAAGTTTTATCATGGGCTTCAGTGCAGGAGATTGTCACTGCATATGTTAGGTTCCCTTATCTCTGGGAACCCTCTCCATCGCTGCAGCACAAAACATGTTCCCCACGGCATCCTGCTCAACCCCTAAATGCTCTGGGGACCCTCAGTAGGCAGGACCCAGGCAGAGCCAGGTGTAAGGAAGACTCCTCCAGTCTTTCACCAGAATCTTTTTGGGAGATGGGAATTCTTGCATGCTCTTGATAGGACAGTGTCATTGTTTTTAAAGAGCAGGTGGGGACGGGGTTACAGCAGAACTAAACACGAGTCTCCTGATTTCTACCAGGGAGTCGACAGCTGGAAAGAAAAAACTTCACTCTGGTGGTCAGTCTGATTAGATGGACTAGGCTTGTGTCATTCCCCACTCCCCCTTTGCATCTATCCAGCGGCTTGCCAGATGTCCCAAGGGGTGGAGACTTCTGCCCAGCACAGCAAAACCTGCCATGAGGTGGGGGCGGTCAACAGTGAAGCAATCACAGCCATCCTGCCTCTGGGCAGGTAATCTGTCCTGTCACCTGCCTTCTTCCTGCCCACAACCCTAAGGTTTCCACAGAGCTCTATCTCCTTAGAAATCCCTTAATCTGCAGAAGAATTCCATCTCAACTGAAGGCGCCTGTAACCTCCACCAGTCTGTTGGCGATTTCCCTGTTCTTTTTCTTTGAAGCTAGATGTCAGATTTTGTGTTGATCCCAAAGAACTGTGAACAGAACTTATGAATGTGTCTTTTTAAATAGAGGTACTACTCCCCTTTCAAGCAGTTAAAAAGGTGGAATGGAAACACTCGCCACCAAAAACCCTGACCACTGCCGAACGCCCGCATTATTCGACTTGCACTGCTTAACTGGTTTCCTACCTGTGTCTGTGTATATTTGACCAAAAAGGCAAGATAAATATCTTTTTTTTCCCTTGCTGGCTTAATTTTTAATTCTTTTCATTCCCAGTTCGGAGGTACTTGCATTGGAGCGTAATTTCTTAAATCCGGGTGTGTGAGAAACAAGCTTCCCCTGTGTGCAGTTCTTCTTCTGGCCCTAGCAGTCCCAGGCCATTAGCTTTGAGGATGTTTTTAGGAGCCCTGTGCCACATTAATGATAGTAAGGGCTTGCGCTACACTGGCGCCCATTTGGGGGAAAGCTCTGAAGAATTAATTTTATAAGAATTAATCTTATATTAATTTTATAGTGATCCCATGTTTGACACAGCAGATGCATGCCACCTGCTCTCCAGCCCTTGCCACTCCCATACTAGTGGCTTGAGGAGATAGATGGGAGCATGAGGCTATTCCTCAAAGGATTGTTTCAAGGCTTTACCTTCCCCCCACCCCATTCACAGCCTGCCACTCACCCTCGGTGGAGCTCAGCAGAACAGAGACGCACACTGGGAGCCCACATGGCTTCTCTGCGGGGCACACAGAGCCACTACACCTGCATCCCACTGGTTGGCACTCCTGGCTCTAGCTCCAGGCACACCTGCTGGCTCCTGCCCACTCTGCTTTGCTGCTGTCTGCTGGAGTAAAGGTTCCCAAATGCAGGAACCTACATATGAAGGCCTCTGAAACAGTGCCAGGGGCTCACCCCTCTATGGTACCTCACTTCTGTTCTTGTCCCTAATTTAGGCTATGTATGTAAATCCCCAGGGGGCTGGGTCAACACACCCTACTAAACTCAAGTTCCTTGAGTGGCAAGCAGCAGTCCTAGCCACATGGCACGGTGTCCAACGGGAGGTCCTCCCAGTTTCTGGAGAGTGAATGGATGAATGAATGAACAGGAAGAAGAAACAGTGAGAGTCAAGAAAGTGAACTTGGAAATGACCTCCATGAGAGCGGCTTTTAAAGGGAGCTCACCATTTGTAAACAGCTCTTTTAAGCTGCTCAATCAAAGTGGAACCCATTTAGCTTTCTTTTACTTGATGGACGCACCCAAATCTGACAGTATCATCACCCCAAGACGTCTACTCTACTGAAACCCAGAGTGTGTGGCCCAGAGGGCAAAGTCTGGTGTAATGCCACAGACAGCCCCTGCTCTCCTCCCCACATTTCCACACCCAGGTGCCAAGAGAAGCAAACACTCACACCATGAGGAAGATGCCTCCCGTGTTGGATACGAAGCCTCTGGTGGTTGGGGTAGCGTGCTTGTCATAGCCGTAGACGCCACACAGCAAGCCCAGGTAAAAAAAAATCACGATGAGTAACAGCAGAAAGCAGGAAATCAGGCTACACAGCCACCTGGTAAGGCAAGCACAGGGTCATTGTAAGTAGGGCAAGGGAGGGCTACTCCAAGACTACTGGTAAGAACACCCAGTAAGCTGGGCACAGTGGCACAGGTCTGTGATCCAGGCAACTGAGGAAGCCCAGGAAGGAGGATCACAAATTTGAGGTGATCTCACTAAATTGAGTGAGAATGTCTCTAAATAAATAAATAGAACTGGGGGTGTTGCTCAGCAGTAAAATGCCTGAGTTGAATCTCTAGTATCAAAGTCTTATGGCTTAAGACGAATTTCAAGTTCTTCCCGGGTTCCTGATGTGGAAGTACCTACCACCGTGGATAGATCATGATTAGAATACTAATAAAGAAATACCAGACTCTTTCCCACTGAACTTTCTCCAAAATATCTTGGGATCACAGTAATGTTCTAGGGCATTGTGTTCCTTACTGAACCAGAAATACTCTATGTGGTGGATGCATGGAACATTTAAAATTTTATGAGCATCCTAAATCAAACACCTTCAGAATGGAAATCTCAATTTTGGAAGGGTCCAGTGAGACATTTTAGGATAATGGATCCTCAATTAAGTCTTCCTGGCATTATCCAAATGGACACCACCCTTTCCCGGCAGCTAAGGGGCATTCAAGGGTACAGCTCCTTCCCAACACTTCAGAAACCAACAAAGAGTTTTCTTCTGCTTACTGCCTCTTGACAAAAGTTGCCACTAAAGCTTTTCATTCAATTAAGAGCAGTTTTGCTAATTATAATGAGAGCTACTAGCAGCCATTCTGGGGAGGTTTTGTCCCAGATATTTGGGACACAAAATTAAAGAAGTCAGGGACCTTGGCCTCAGAGAACTTTTGGAGTTACTAAATCATTCATTTGGTTAAATTTCTTTTAAAAAATAAGCTTATGGGGCTGGGAATGTGGCTCAAGCGGTAGCGCGCTCGCCTGGCATGCGCGGGGCGCTGGGTTCGATCCTCAGCACCACATAAAATAAAATAAAGATATTGTGTCCACTAAAAAACTAAAAAATAAATATTAAAATCTCTTTCTCTCTCTCTGTAAAAAAAAAAAGAAAAGAAAAAGAAAAAAATAAGCTTATGATTTCAGGCGGGAAGAAGAGGAAGAGAGAAGCAGATAGACAGGAAACTGCAGTCCTCTCTGTCACCTGTGATGGCTAATGAGTTTTCAAGATCATTGAGAAAGGCTCTGTCTTGTGTCCTGATAGCTGTGGAATGGCCCACAATGAAGACACAGCCAGTGTCCCAGGAAGTCATTCATCCTGGGGTCACGACCAATAGCACAGCTACACAGGGTCTGAAAGGCCACCTCTGCCCTCCGTATTCCAGCTGGCCTTAGCCGAGTCACTTCACTTCCCTGAGCCCCAACTTCCTTGTCCCCAAAGCAGGGTAATCAATGGAGCACAAGCAGGGGACTCTGAGTGCTAAATGAGATGTCCTGTGTAAAGCACAGGGCGGGCACACTGAAACTCTTCCCTGAAACTCGAGCACCATCTTTGTTATCATTTTGCTATTTATCTTGTTCTCTTGCACAAAAAAAATGACCTGCAGAGTAAGAAGCAGGCTCTGGACTCTCTGTGGGCTTTGGCACTGTGGACTACCAAGGGACACGAGGCTGAGGAGAAAATGCATTTTACATCTCAGAGGATCTGCTAAATTCCACAAGCCCCTGAGCCCTTCCCCTCTCCCGCATGGCTACCCGTCCTCCCCAGGACCACATCGCACCAGCTGCACCTTGTAAACAAACACAGGTGCAGCCACTGCTCACCTGGGCTTGGAGAGTTTAGTTACTGGTTTCAAGCACAGTCTCTTAAGACCACACTCTTCTGGTAGAACCAACCTCTATACATTTACCTCATCAGAAAAGAAGACCTTCCAAATGTCCTCAATTACTTATTGTTTTAAACTCCTACCACATGCCTGGCTTACTAATTATAACAAAGATTCTAGAAGCCACTCATGATATCAAAACTGAAAATCATTAAATATTTGACTCAAGAACTTCCAGTCTGAAACTTAAAGAAAAAAAAATATGGAGTGCATCATGAATTTGTAGTCACCCTTAGTCAGGGGCCATGCTGATCTTCTCTGTATTGTTTCAGTTTGGGTCTATGTGCTAAGTGAGCACTTCAACCTTCTGACTGAACATAAACTAGGGTTCACACATATCAGGTCCTGGCTTCTCGGTAGGACTTGCTTTCCTAAGGTTTTCCTGGTGCTAACAGGAGATTTTTTTCGGCACTGCATACCAAGTTGCATGCTCCTGGTCCACCAGTCCAAGCAGGCACTCACCAGTAGGAGTCAACTTCTTCTGCCCGATGCAAATTCTGTTTGATTTCTTTTTCAATCTCATCCATGTGACTATTGAACTCTGACAAGGACTTCTGAATAGGAATATCTTTGGTTGCATCCTTGACGTTGGAACCCACGGTATTTAAGAGCTTTTTGATTTCTGAAATCAAAGTGACCTTGGTTATGCATTTTCCAACATGGGAAACACAGAAATGTTGTTTGGGAACCAAAGAGAAAAGCTCAAGCCACTTTCAGTTTTTCCCATGTTATGAACTGGTTTGTAATAAGATAGGATTCTGCAAGAGCAAACAGCCATTGGAAGGCAACAACTTCACAAAACAGTGGCTGTAGGTGGGGACATCCATGAGCCATTAATGAAGTCAAGCCACAGGGTTTTTTTTTTTTCTTCCACTACCTTGCTAAAAATAAACAAACCAACAACAACAACAAAAAAAATCAGAGCCCAGTGCAGTGGTGCTGGCCTGTAATCCTAGCAGCTCAGGAAGTTGAGACAGGAGGATCACGAGTTCAAAGCCAGCTTTAGCAACTTAGCAACGTCTTGTCTCTAAATAAAATACAAAAAGGGCTGGGGATGTGGCTCAGTGTCCCTGAGTTCATTCCCTGTTACCACAAAAAAAAAAAAAATCAGGTAATTCATATACATGTTATGGCTACCATGTGCCAGACACTTTTGTAAATATCAATTTGGTTATTCCACTGAGGCAGGTATTCTAAATCCCCATTTTAATAAAACTGCCCTGAGGCTCACCGAGGTTAAGGTGAGCCATATGTCTCTTTTTCAGAATATGCTGGTAATGAGGTTAAAAGCATGATGTATCTAAGACTGAAGCCCTATTATATGATTTTTTTTTTTGAAGGAAAAACACTAACTTCTCAGCCTAAGAAATGGCATCCAGAAACACAGTAATTCTCTAGGATCCTTTTTTTGAACAAGTGACCCTAAGTGATATATTTGTTACAATTTTACTTGACTCCTATAGTTTGGGATGTGTTAAAGAAGGACATCTGTGCCCCTACATGCAGAAAGCAAGGTACTTCCCAGTGGTCAGTTTACATTATCATTGGTCTCATTTCTCAGAACCATGGGGCTTTGGAAAGATCTGCCCATCAGGACCGCCTGGGCCACAGTGAGTCCCCTGAGCTGGCAGTGCTGAGGATGGCCCTGACCACAGTGATTCTTGGTTGCTTTTTAATTTTTTTTTTCAAGGCTGAGAATTAACCCCATGGCTTGTGCCTGCTCTACCACTGAGCTAAGCCCCCGGCCCCCCAGCAATTCTTGACACGGATGTACTAAGAATAAGATGCACTAATCAATTAAGAGCCCACTGATCCTGAAAGACAGGGAAGTCTCTCTGTGGCAGTGGACACAGGATGAGCAGTTCCCAAAGGTGACACCAGGGTTCTTGGCGAGCAGTAGCTGAGTGGTGAAGGTGGCGGGTTAGTCTAAAACACAATTGCATAAAACGTGGTGGAAAACTTTGCCAAAGTGTGTTTGTCACATCTGCGTGAAATCCAGAAACCAAAGGTACAGACAAGAGCAACTGCAGACCAGGTGCTTGGAGGTGGCTCACAAGGAGGAGAGTTGTTTCATGGTGGCTCACAGCTTCCTCCAAATGGCTCGTGTGCCAAAATACGGGAGGCTCTGGATCGGATGAATCTGTAGGCGTTTTTCCTAACACTGGGGTTTCGAGAAACATGACACATGGACCCCATCTCATACGCACAGCTCCTGGGGGCCCTGTCTGCTTCTTGGCCTGTCTTGTTCTCACAGTCCCCAGCCTTGTCAGCTGTGGTGACTCCGTGTGTGCCCTCTCTCAGCAAAGACCTCCTTCCAGATTCAGTCTGGATGCTGCTTTTCCCAGGAAGTTGGCCATTACCCCTTACCCACCTGGCTCCCTTGCTCATCTGTGGCCAGGTCACCCAAGTCTGATCAATGGCATCTGTACGCATGGCTGGCTAAAGGACAGGCAAGGCCATGCCTTAGACTTCTCAGCCCCAGCACCTGTCACAGCCTTGCACGCAGTGGGCACTTCAGGCCAGGCCCAAAGGGGCAGAACGTGGAACTAAGGACACAAAAATAAACACTAGATCTCCGGGAGGACACCGCGGCCCTTGCCTGGGCCCTGGGAAATGCTGGTGTGTGTCCAGGCAATGACACCGGGTGCTCCAGCCTCTCTCAGACTCACAGGGGAAGACTGAACACACGGGCACAAGAGGCCCAGAGAGGAGAAACAAGAATTAAACACAGGTTAATAAGCAGGGGGCTGCAGACAAACAGCATGCCATCAGTCCCAAACGGAGTCCCAGCAGCACCTGAGCTCTGTCTTCAACCTCTTCATGGCTCCATCACCCCAAAAGAAGCCCACAAGACATCTAAAGCTGTAATGAGATAAAATGCTCTTTATCCAGGGCTGGGTCTGTGGCTCAGTGGTAGGGCTCTTGCCTCACATGTGTAAGGCACTGGGTTCGATCCTCAGAAACACATGAAAATAAATAAATAAAGGTATTGTGTCCATCTACAAGTTAAAAAAAAAAGGAAAAATGCTCTTTACCCAAACTCTTAATGAGCTGAAAGAACACTGCAAGGAAAAACAAAGTGAAATTATACTAACAAAATATTTTAAACCATTTGGTAACAGATACAAAGAATGGTTAAAAGGAGAGAGAGAGAAAATGGTCTTGCATAGATGCAGAAAGTTCTTCTCTAAGCAAATAACCATAAGTTTATTCCCATCCCAGCACAAAAAAATGCTTATATTGCATTCTGTCACCACCACCATCCCCAAAATACCATGTCCTGAACAGGCAGGATTCAGTCATTTAACACCTGAGAATCTCTCGCACAGGTTCTGTCTCTCCAAGTCTGTAAACAACCTTAGGAGCCTAACATACCATTATATCAGCATCATGAACAACAACAACAAAAAAAAAAACCTCCCCAAAAGACAAAATAAGTCCTGACAGTCTTCTTAAACATAATCTAATTAATTTTAGAAGTTCATTTTTAAATCCATTTAGAAAATAGAATAATGTACAGGGTCCCCTTCCTCTGGGAAAATAGTCAGAATGTGTGTGACCTTCCAAAACACAGCTGCCCTAAGGCCTGTGAGAGCCCTGATGGGGACTCACCAGCCCAGTGCAGCTGTCAGCCCCAGCACCTGGTGGCTAGTGACCAGAACTGTGTTGCTTGGAAACATTTTGTTGTTGTTGTTCAAATCTGCGTCACTGACGGAAGATGACACAATCCAAGAGCTTTGATCTTCACCTAGTTGTCAGGGTTTTAGCGAGAGACCTTTTTTTTTTTTTAATTAGAAAAGAACAATACAATTCACAACCACATAGTTCTTTGAGCTGACCAACCATACAGTTCTTAACAAAGAAAGGTACCAAATGACCTCAGAAGATGACCTCACCTGCTACGATGTTCGTGGTTTGGACTTGCACCCTCTTAGGAATGTCATTAAGGGATTGGTAGCCCTAAAAAATATTTCAAAGTTAATTGATATATAAGGTGAGCTGAAAACCAGTTGACTGGTATTCATTTTTCTGCTTATTATGGAGTACAAAATTAAAACAAAAATGTAACATTCATCTTAAAGCTAAAATGAGCATATTATGGTCATCAGGACTCTAAAAAAATTCCCTTTAGAGTGTGTTTTCTTCAAATTGAATAAATCAAAGATCAAGTTAATTTTTATATATATATATATATGGTATCCCCTAATTTTAAAATCTCCCTATTTGCTCACAACAATTCTAGGAATTATTACGGATATATACAACACACACACACACACACACACACACACACACCAGTGGAGATGTTTTCTTAGGGTGCTATGGGTGCTGTGCAAGCACAGGCCAGCAATGCTAATAAACACCCTATGATGCACAGGACTGTCCCCACCAGCCCAAGGACAGTGCTGAGGTTAAGAAACTGTGAGCTGAACAGTCACTAGTACAGACATAACGTGAAGTTTTGAAAACAACTGTACTTTACAGTGCAATGATCCAATAAGAGACCTAATCTCATAGGGGGAGGGGGAAGAGGTCCCCAAACGCAGCCTAAAGAAATACAAATGGCAGTGAGGCTAAAACAAGAACAGCCACTCCAAGCTGTGTGGCTCTGGGCTAACTCAGGAGAGGGCCACGGTATTTCTAAAGAACTTCTCAACATCGGGCCTTCCCTGGAGGGGTTCAGTTTGTGTTTAACTGCTTGCTGGTGCCGTCAGCCATCTGCCAGCGGTCACTGCCATGCTTCTAAGGTTCATAAGATTTAGGGGCTAGTCAATTCCCCATTCAGTCTAGCTATGTTGGATGCCAAAAGAAGAAGGGCCACAACCTCTGTTCTCTCAAAGGCAGCTAAGCTCCTGGCTTGTGTGTGTCTGCTCTCTTCACACACATCCACAGGTGGACTTGTAGATGTCACCATCATGGTATCCTGGCTCAATTCCCACTGTATAACAAGCCAAGTGACTCCAGGATGCAAAGATCAATGATGTCAAATGACTTAAGGGGACACTCGCCTTGGCGATAAGTATAGACTGTATTAATCGCTTCTTGAGGTTTCTCTATAGCCATGCTTAAAGACACAGCATCGTGAACAAGCTTCTCTCCCCTTTCCTATAGGTCCAGGGCACTCTACAGAATCCTAATCCATGAAGAATCTTTATTGCATTTTCAGTATCCACTGGTTGAATAAATCACAATTGTTGAGCCACCACACAAATCATGGTATCCCAGGCCAACGCTGCCTTTGCCTTTATGGGGTTTACAGGCCGGTGGGGGAACAGAGTCATTAAAGGTAGTTATGGGTAATTATAGCTAGGAGGACTTTAAAGAATATTTGCCATGCTATAAAAATGTATTTTTAAAGTGTTGACCTAGTCAAGATGCCAAGAAAATTCTTGCTAAGAGGGTGACATACAGGGATGTAGTTCAGAGGCAGACTATGAATTCAGCATGCACGAGGCCCTGGGTTCCATCCCCAGTACCAAAATAAACAAACAACTGAACAGGTGGTATAAAAAGCTTCGGAAACCAAGTAGCCAGACAAAGGACGGGGAAGAAGAAGAGAGAGCCGGGTAGAGGGCAAGCAGGTGTGAGACGGGGAGGAACAGAGAACCAGTGTGGCCAACTCCTGGGCAGAGGGCATCCTTCATATCAGGATTAATATGGGCCCTGCACCCATTGGATACTGAGCCCAGGAAAGCAGGGCCAGGTTGATCTCCAGTGGCCTTGGAAGGGTTCTTCGCATATAACAGACACTCAACTAAAACTTCGTGAATTGGATAAAACAAAATAGGTCTCCCTCTTCTTGTCAGTCACTCTCCAGAATGTCAATTTTTTTTCTGTTTCCTAACATCTTACATTTCAGTTTATTCTTTAAAGTGATCCAAAAAAAATTGATCTATCTTTTCCAAAAAAAAAAAAAAAAAACAACCATACCTTTTGGACCATGGCATCCAAATCATTTCTGAGAACATTATTAATATTTTGAAGTTCTGTGTCCATAGATGGGAGCTGAAAATTCATACAACAAAATATAAGGCAAGGTGGTTACTCCCAAATTAACCCACAAAAAATGGAATTAACTTGTATCCAAGCTCCAAAGCACTGAGATTATAGGGAACCGCTCCACTATTCTCCCCCCCGCCCCACCCCTCAATAACCCCAATCCATGTGGGGACTGAATCCAGTGGTGTTCTACCACTGAGCTAATCCCCAGCCCTTTTAATGTTTCATTTTGATGCAGGATCTCGCTAAAGTTGCTGAGGCTGGCCTTGAACTTCCAATCCTCTGCCTCAGCACCACCCCCTCCCCGAAGTAGCTAGGATTACAGGCAAGCATCACCCATCCAACCTCGCTTTCTTTGGAAAGTTTGGGAAAATTCATTTTACTCTGCACAGCCTGGATAAGCACTTTTTTTTTTTTTAGATGTTTGGAGGGCTCCTGATGCAGTCAACTAAAACTGAGGCAAAGCAATGCAAGACAGAATATATGTGACCTTCTAGTGAATAAAGCAGTGAACAATATTGTAAAAATCACTTTTAAAAGTAATACAGGGGGCTGGGGATATAGCTCAGTTGGTAGAGTGAGTGCCTTGCATGCACAAGGCCCTGGGTTCAATCTCCAGCACCACCCAAAACAAACAAAAAGTAATACAGGGGCTGGGGTGCAGCTCAGTAGTAAAGTGCCCGATTAACATGCAAGGCCCTGGGTTTGATCCCTGGAACCAAAATATCAAATAAATAATATAAAAGTAATACAGTGAGCGGGGACATTATTGAGAAGCCTGGAACAAGTTTTTCACGTCCAGCACTGCAGGTGCCTCGGAAATCTCTGGTTCTTACCAACACTTGGCCAAGTGTCACATGTCTCTTGATATTATGTGCCAAGGAGGACCCAGCATCACTCTACAATGAGTCCTTGGCAAATACAGGTAACTTAAATCCAATACAAGAGATCACCAGACAAACCTGAACAGATGGCCACTCCACCACGTAGGTGGCCTGCTCAAAATGTCAGTGGGGGCTGGGGCTGGGGCTGGGGCTCGGTGGTAGAGCGCTCGTCTCACATGTGTGAGGCCTGGGTTTGATCCTTAGCACCACATAAAGATAAATAAAATAAAGGTGTTGTGTCCACTTACAACCAGAAAAATATTTAAAAAGAAAAAAAAAAATGTCAGTGTCACAAAAGAGAGAGCCTGAGAAACTGTTCCAGAAGAAAGAGACATGACACTGAGAGCAACATGTGGCCCCGGCCAGGACCTTTGGCTGCAAAGTGAAAATATAGCTGTGAAGGGAATTTTCAGAAAAACAGACAACATTTGAATAGGAACCGTGGAGATGGTGGCAGTGCTTATTGTAATATAAAACTAATACGTTAAATGCCAGGAAAACACATGCCCATTTTTTTCTACATTCCAGAACTTTATATATTCAAGTTGCCTGAAGTTCTTTTGGGGGGGAATCTACTCTTTGGGAAAATGGATGAATTGCCTTGTATTTGGGGGTTAATACATTAGGTATATGGTTTTAAATATATATTTTAAATTTCTACAGGAAAGTGTTCTGCTCCCCTTATTATTTTTTCAAGTTGAATATGTTTCACCAAATGGTAAAGAACTCCCCAGAAGGGGGCTCCATTGCATTCCTCTGCTCCTGCTGTAGCCATTCCCCTGTGGTGATGAGATGCCACTGTGCCCCTGACAGGTATACCGGTGCTTAGCCATGCCCACCCACCGGAGCTCGGGGGCCCGGATGTGGCAGGCTCCAGCAGCTCACCTTGCTCAATTCGGGGTTGCCCTCCAGCTGGCTCAGAGACGACTCAATGTTCTTGCAGATGTCACTCACTTGTGGAAGAAGGCACTCAGGGCCTTGCAGAGAATTCTGCATGTTTTGTTTCACAGCAGAGAGGCTGTTGCTGAGCTGTTGGCTTCCGTCCCTCAGGCTCTTAAAATTCTGGTTCATGTTCTCCAGGGCCACCTTGGTTTCTTTAATTGCTGCGGGAACACGGCCCATTTCAGAGCAGAGACACCAGGCCCTTCCATCTATAAGACTGACCTAAAGGAACTTGTGATGAACTTGTAAATGGCCTTAGACCACTGCAAGGGGCAGTCTGAGAGGAAGCACAGGGCACTGCTGGGCTGCTCTGCCAGCTCCTCTGACCAGCTCAGCTCTATGGTTTGGGGTCTCTTTCAACCAAGAAGCTGGGGCCAAGTACCAACACAGGACTGTGATGGGGACACCTCAGTGCCCCATTACTTGGCCAACAACAGCATTACTGCCCAACCTTGAAGAGGTCCGTCCAAACAAATCCATCCCAAGTGGTTTGAATCCATATAAAAACAGATTACACTTATATTTTAGTTATAAATATTCAAACAGCTGGAATAACCTACAGATAGTTGAGAGGAGAGTTTTAGATTCAGGCAGATTGAACTTTGTTACTACCTGTGTGACCCGAAGTAGATTCTGGAACCCCTTAAAATCAATTTATTCTTATTAAAATATTGAAACTATCACCATGTGGAGCATGGGAACCTGTGGGGAAGCCTAATCAGACCCAAACTCCTCAACAGCAGTGAGTCTCTCTGCATTGCTTTGGGAGTCCCACAGCCTAGGACACAGACTTATGCCAGGAAGTCCCAAATGATGATGGCTTTCCTGATTTCTCTGGGGGGTAGAATCCCCTACCAGAGACTATGGATGTGAATTACAACTGTTTTTTACAGTGGCTCAAAGCCTCAGCGGTAAAAGTCATGACATTTAAACTGGAAGTCACTCTTCTTCTAAGCAGGTAAGTCTTTGTGGTCAGGCCTTTGCTCTGTGGCTTGCAAAACAGCAGAGCATCAGGCTTCAGTGCAGTGTTGCAAGGGAAAATGTGAAAGCCCTTAAAAACTGCTTGCAGTACCTTCCTTCAACCACATAAAACTCAAGTGTTAAAGACACACACCACACACACACACACACACACGCAATGGTACCGTGGAATCTCTCCAAAAAGTAGCACAAGTTCTCCTTTTGGTTCTACTTCTATCTTGTATGGCATCTTTGGCAAGTTCTTTCATCTCTTGGTACCTTAGTTTCCTCATCTGTAAATGAGGGAGCTGGTTGGGCTGTCTCTTGTGATTCTAGACTGTGTCCTGACAGGTTGTGAGGCTGAGCCCTTGGATAGGTTAGTGAAAACCCATGTTAACTTGGTCTCATTTGGAGGAGCTTTGAGGATTTATCCAGAGACCTGGAGAGGCTTCCAGAATTAGGCAGCATGATCACTGGTCTCAAATTTTATCACTTCACCTGATTGAAAAAATAATTCTAAAGTCTGCTTCCATCTTTGCTCTTGATTCCAGGGCGATCATATTTTAACAGGATTGAAGGCTATAGTGTTGAGACCATAAAAGAGCACTCCGGGTATCAGTTTTTCATTCCTCCCACCTACCTGGTAGCATTATCAACAAAGCATGAAGCCTGGTACCCAGCTCATGGTAGAGGCTCAGTGAATATGTAGCACAGCAAATGAGAAACAAAGAACCCACACTGGAGACATACACCTGAATGCACAAAAGCATGCTGAGACACTTCATGCTGCACACCTCAAGCTTCAGGTTCTGAGGTTTACCTCTCAAGGCCCTTTCCATTTTGACTTTAAGATAAATTAGTGCAAGAAATAAATAACAACAACAAAGACGGACAGATGATAAAACAAACTGATGGCCAGGAAATGTGTGTGTGTGGTCGTTGTCCATAGACATTCTGGGATGTGGGTAATATTTTGTTATGTCCCAGAAAGGATTCAGAGGTAATAAATTTATATTTTCCAAAAGCTTCAAAGCATTTTTATGTCCATAAAACATTTCCAGGGCTATAACTCTGGGAGTCATTCCAGGCCTACTGAGATCCCATACATTATGTATCTGAAGTAACTGGGGAAGATATTTCAGATTCTTAATTTTAGTTAATAAACATTTCACCAGTCCAGAGCTCATTTCCTCTTGACCTGCAGCCTAAACATGATGTACTCAAAACAACTGCATGATTCTTTCCTCTTCAAAGTCCACAAAATACATAAGGCTACAAAGCATTTTTAGCAAAAATTTAGCTAGAGCAGTTTAGTAAGCAAGTTTTAAGAAGCTCTGGCACAACAAAGGCTAAATAAACATTGACTTATTTAGGTTGGCTTGAAAAACAGCAGAATTTTAATAATACAGGAAACACTGAAGGGAAAAATAAAATCTGTTTTAATCACCTTTCATCTAGAAAGCACTGTGATTCGAAATGCTAAAAATCATTGGAGCTGGGATGGGGTTGCAGCTCAGTGGCAGAGCGCTGGCCTAGCCCATGTGAGACACTGGGTTCTATCCTCAGCACCACATATAAATAAAATAAAGGTATTGTGTCCACTTACAACTAAAAAATATATTAAAAGAATCATTGGAACTTTGAGCAAAAAGTCAAGGGACACATCAAGCAGGCTGCATGTCCATATACTTCCATGCAGCCATAGCCACTGTGGAATTTTGGCTGGAGGAGATCTTGGAAGACCTAAGACACTGACACCCAATGCACTGACAACAGAGACCTGGGGTGCAGAGATAAATAGCATCGTCCCACGGCCATGCCAGCTTGAGCTCCATACTCCCAACTCCTCTTCCAGAGGTTCCCCATGTGGCCTTCCCAAAGGTGGCATAGCAGCACCCTATATCTGAGCACTCCCCAGTATTGTGAATCCTATCTAGGGTCGTCAGGGTACCAGAGGCTTTGGTCAGATGGGGTGTGAATCCCAACTCCACCCCTTCCAAGCTACCCAACTGCTATACTGAAGTGTCCCCCAATTGATATGTCAAAGTCCTGACCCTCCTGTGTTTGGATACAGGGTCTCTAGGGAGAGAGTTAAGATGAAATAAGGTCAGAAGGGTGGGGCCCTGATAGGGTAGGACTGATGTCATTCTAAGAGAAGGGACACTTAAAGATGGGTGTCTAAGACGGGAAGTGAGGCTGGAATGACAGGAAAGGGCCAGGGAGGGAGGAAGGAAGGAAAGAAGAAGGAAGGAAAGGAGGGGAAGTGGGATGGGAAGGCATAGATCTTTGAGGTCACACTCCTTCTCGGGCCTCTATTTCCTGGCCAGGAAAGGGAATGGTTGGTGATGGAGAGGTTGGTGACATCTGGAGGCGGCTGAGGCACCCACCGCAGAGGACTCCCAGCCTATTCTGCCATCCTTCCTAGTCCCAGAGAGTCTGCTGAGTTGCTGGACTATAAGGAATACCAAAGGGAACAGGCATAATTGTCTTCCATATGATCCCTTCCTGATAGCCTGTTTTCTCGGGAATTGGCCAAACATTTGACAGATGAAATCGTCTTCCCCATCAAACACCCAGCAGACATTTTTTTTTCAATATTCAGAGGACCTGAGGATTTTTTTTTCATGGTAGTTGAACATGTTTATTAAAATCTGTTCACTTATTTGAAAACAAGGAATATACTTATATATCTTAAAACCCACCACTGACCCTGATGGGTTTTAAGATACATAAGTATATTCCTTGTTTTCAAAAGCTGTCCTTTCAAGGTAGGGAGAGTAATCAATAGAATGCAAAAGACCCAAAATTCTATAGGCTACTCATCTTCTATAATAGACGTTGATGAACTTTTTCAATAAAAGTCCAGATGGTAAATATTCTAGCCTTTGTGGCCCTTAAGGTCTCTGTTACAACCATTCAATTCTGCCATCACAGACCAGAAGCAGCCACAAAATGCGCATGACTGTGTTGCAATAAAACTTTATTTACAAAACCAAGTGGTGGTCCCCTATCAAATTCTGCCAGTATTATTTCAAATGACTTTTCTTCAGTACAATATCTTTGGTACCAGCTTTAAAAAAATAAAATAAAATACTGACTACTGTTATACGGTGTGTTTCTGCCAGGCCTGTTTGTGTGGCCACAGATCGCAGCTCTCACTCTGGCCAATTCTCAGGGAAACTCAGGAAAGAATTATTGACCCCGTGAGACCCAGGGACTCCCACTGGTGTATTTTCAGTCACCTTTGCCACTGTGCTTACCTTTCGCCATGACCTGGATCTCATCAAGAACAGGGATCACCTTAGGCTTTAGTCTCTCGAGAATTCCACCTCCCAGCAACGAATGAATATCTGGGATTGAAGAAGCAGAAGGGACAGTGAGGGCAGCTGCCCTGAAGAACAGGCTCCACCTCTACTGCTGAAAAGTCCCATTTTCCATTCTAGACCCTGTTCAGGTATTGACCCTGGTGTGCAGATTTCATCACATCGTTTGAAGTTCCCATATCGACGTCCCCAGGTGAAAACTTAGACACCACAGACTGACAATCTGTGCTAGAAACACAGAATTTAGCTGCTTCTCCTCCTCCTCCTCCTCCTCCTCCTCCTCCTCCTCCTCCTCCTCCTTCTTAACTTCTTTCCTTTTTAATTAAATGTTCTCAGTTTTATCTTTGAAGTTCATTGCTATTTGTACATTCTAAGGTAAGGAAAGAGAGTTGAGCACCTTGAGCTGTATGTAACCACCTCTGTCCCATCTCTTCAGCCAGGCCGGATTCTCACATCGCCGTGGCCCTGTTGACATTGTGGGCTGGGTAACTCGGGTGGGGCCTGTTCTGTGCATGGTAGGCTGTTGCAGCTTCCTCTACCAACAGTGCCAGGACCTCCACTGCCTCCACCTGGCCTCTCTGTGCCAACCACAGATGTCTCCAGAGGGCACCCCCGTCACTTGTTGGTTGAGAACCGCTAAGCCACACTGTGAGCCCCAGGACAGTCCCCATCTCCTTCTGAAGCCACTTTAACAGGGCACCTGGCAGGGATGCACATCCTCCCCCACGTGGGGGATGAAGAACAAGTGCCAGTGACCACAAGATGCAAGTGCTCTGCAACGGATGCCAAATAAGAGAGCCAAAGGCCCCGCTGCCTGCAAGACAGAGGCTTTCCACAGATTGCAAAATGTCGGTGACACAAGGGGATTCTTTTCCTACTTTCTCCTACCTCCCCCTATTTGGTTTCTTAGTCCATGTTCTGTGGGTGGCAGCCACAGCCTCTCTTGAGCCCAAACAAGCAAATAATCACCAACACATGCTGATTGTACTCACTGTCCAGATCTAAGAAGGCCTTCTCTTTGGTGGTGTTGAACTGGTCCACGATATAGTCAATTTGCTAGGGAAAGAAAAATTACGTGAAACCTGACCTTCTAAAGCCCAAAGTCACAATAAAAAGACACATATCATTCAAAAATTAACCCGAATCAGAGAAGCTTTAGAAAGAGATTGTCAATGAGTTCTGGAGATATTTTTATTTTCTGACAAACTTCTTACAAACACTTCCCAGCTTATTAGCCTAAAACTGATTAATTTACTGAGTTTACTTGTTCGTTGTGAATGTTACTATTTGTGCTGGTTTATTATGTCCCATGATCTTGTGGACTGGCTGTTGGATCTTGCGGTCAGTTCTAGCATGGCTGGGGACGGGTGGGCCCCTCACTCTTTCCACATGGCCTCGTATCTTCTGAGTGACCAGCTTGGTGATCCAAGGGTCACCAGCAACGAGAGGGAAAGAGTAGACACTGAGTGGCCTCTGGAAGCTGAAGCTCAAAACTGGCCTAAGGTCATGTCCGCTGTGTTCCCCGGGTCATAAGCACACCACAGGGACAGCCCAGACTCCAGGGGTTGGGAGACAAATCCACTGGTTGACCTGAGGAACTGTCAAGAACGTGTACCCTTTGTGTTCTGCCACATTAGACCCATTTTATTTAGTGACAATTACCAACTGGCCTTCAAAGGGGCTGCTCGCTGCCTGTCTACAGTGGCTCAGGAGACCCAGTCCCCACTTCCTCGGCACCACGGCGGGTTTGGGGATGTTTTACCAGTTTTCAACAATGATTGCCAATCAGCTCAATGAAAATGTGCGTCATCATCTCAGTTTTCATTCCTCCAACTACTAGAGGAAGATCAAACGTCTTATTCTGTGTGGGGCCAGTCGTGTTTCTTTTATCCACTGCACGTTCACATTCTCTGCCCAATTTTTTTTTTTTTAGACTTCATTCAGCTCATCATTATTCCAAATCAGATAAGTTTCCCTGAAAGTCCCAACAATTTACTGTCCATTTAAGATGATGAGAGCCATCCCAAACTTTAGTAGCCTGCACTGCTGTCCGACTTTGCCAGCTGTTTAAGAAAAAGGTTTTTTCCTTGGACTCTTTACAATGTCAGGTAAAAGAATGCTGTGAATTTTACTCACAGGGTCGGACAAATAAAACACTGGCATCTGTATACAGGCTACAAAACTAAAGATAAAGTCAATTTCTCAATATTTTCAAATGCCTGCATTTGTTTCTCTTTCATTTCCAGCCACTTTTTAAGAAACTAGCACATACTTATATTTTAAGATAGAATAAACTGTGAGGGGGCCCCCGGGGGCCTGGTGGGCTCTTCCAGTGGCTCTGTGGGTGGGCTCCTCCTCCTGATGTGGGTAACCACAGCACCACAGATGCAGGAGGGCTTCTGCCCAGACGCTTTTCCAAACAACGTTCCAAATAACAATACATCAGCATGCTCTTGGGACACAGGAAAAAGGGTCCTTGCCCCCACTCCATTCCCCTTCTCCAGAAACAATGCATGAATGTGTGAGTGTGCATGTGAGAGAAAGACAGTGTGTGTACCCTCCCCAAGGAAGGGGACACACCTGCATGGATGTTAACAAATGGGTGTTTATACAGCAAAAGGCTTTCGTCATCAGAATAACCACGCAAACTATCAGGAGTCAACCATACTGCCAAGAAGAAAGGATGAGGACATCCAAGACCTTTCTTTCTTAAAAATAATCATGAGAACTTTCAAATTGTAAGCAATTCTATAATTTCGTTACATTAAAATACCATTTCGGAAATTATGCTTTTGGACTCTTTTGAAAAATACTTGCTGCACCTTGATTTCTTCATCTACCACGTGAAAAGAAATAGCAGCCCCGTGCCCCATCACTATGTCACTATGAACCCCAGTCTTGTGTAGAATACTAATGCAATAATAGAAACCCATTTTTAAAAAGGCAACTCCCATCTACACAGACCCTCTGGGGTCCTGAAAGGTGTAGTGAGGTCCCAGTTACACCCAGGAACTCCGAGAAGCCCAGAATACAAAGCGCCCGCGACGTGTAGCTTGTGGCTGTACCTGTGGCGCTTCATTCACGAGGGTTCGCAGGTCTTTCAAGTTGCTGTCTATCAGCTTCTGAGACTTTCTGATGCGGTGTCTCACATGGTGGTTGGCTGCGAAGCCGTAGATGATTCCAATGCTGCAGGAAAAGGGAAAAAGCAAGAGTAGTGACCCCCTGGTCCCCTGAAGCAGGGCCTGTTTCTTCCCCTGCCTTCGGCTGCTCCAGGCTTCCCACTGAGACCCCATGGCGGACCCACCACCAAACGAGGCCACACATGACTCAGACCCCCCCCCAAAAAAAAGAGAGACCAATCTCCATTTAATATAAAGTACTCCATTCAAGAGGACTCCTAGAAATGGAGAGAGTGTCCACCCAAGTTGTGAAGGAAGCAGGAAATCTATAAGGCAGTGTGCACGATCGGTCCCAGTCCTCTCCAGGGGACACGTGTGTTCGTCCTCCCTGCCCACAGACTCGCTGCCGCCTCAGGCCCCGAAGAAGCCTCTAGGGAAAGGATCAAGATGACAAGTGTGACTTGGCCTTCTAGCGTGTGAAGGTTCTCTCATTTTTCTTTTAGTCTCTGTCTTGTCCAAGTTGGGGGGAAATGCTACTTTGGCATTGAAATGCTACATCAGAAGTCGACACAGAGGCCCTCCTGTGCTATCTCATTTCCATCAAGGAGAAAAACAAGCAGCTCCACGATGCTAGGAGGTCAGCGACTTCACGCTGGCCAGCAGCTAAGGGCAGCCTTCTGTCCGTGGTATTGCCATCTTGGGAATTCACGGGGAAGGAAGATGACAGTTTTCTCCACATAAAATACACTTCATAAAAGCTTCAAAAATGCTATCTGGGACTGTTCTGTTGGGTGCCTGTATGAATATGTAACAATGGATCCCTCTATTTTGTATAATTACAAGACACCAATAAAAAATATGGGAAAATACTATATGAAAAGGCATCTGGCAGGAAAGACTGCACAAAAATGCACTTTTTCAAGCCATCTAAAATGCCCTTACTTAATCATTGTAAACGTCCTTCATGTTGATGAGTTACTAACAATCTTTTGATTTAAACTAATTTGACAAATGGCTTCTGCCTGCAGCATTAGTGTTAAATTTGAAAGTACGAATAGCTGAGGCCCTGTTGAACTTGTCCACTGGATGGCAGCGTGGAACCACATTAGCTAAGCACAGCACAGGTGTCACCTGGAGAAGCCTCAATAAAACGGTTACTTCTTGCGCTTTAGGAGTCTTGTTAAGGAAGTCAGATCCTAAGCTGACCTGGTGAAGATTTGGGCCTATTTTGTCTTCTATTAGTTTCAGGGTCTCTGTTCTAGTGTCTAAGTCTTTGATCCACTTTGAGTTGATTTTTGTGCAGGGTGAGAGAGGTTTAATTTCATTTTGCTACATTTGGATTTCCAGTTGACTTCCTTAACAAGATTCCTAAAGCACAAGAAGTAAAATCAAGAATCAATAAATGGGATGGATTCGAATTAAATAGCTTCTTCTCGGCAAAGGAAACAATTAATAACGTGAGGAGAGAGCCTACAGATTGGGAGAAAATCTTTACCTCATGCACCTCCAATAAAGCATTGATCTCTAGGATATATAAAGAACTCAAAAAATTTAACACCAAAAAAAAAATGACCCAATCAATAAATGGGCTAAGGAGCTGGACACGTCACAGAAATAGAAATACAATGATCAACAAATATATGAAAACGTGTTCAACATCTCTAGCAATTAGAGAAATGCAAATCAAAACTACTCATAAGATTTCATCTCACTCTGTCAGAATGGCAATCATCAAGAATACAGAAAACAATAAAGTTGACGAGGATGTGGGGAAAAAGGTACACTCATACACTGCTGGTGGGACTGCAAATTGGTGCAACCACTTTGGAAAGCAATATGGAGATTCCTCAGAAAATTGGGAATGGAACCACCATTTGACCCAGCTATCCTACTCCGCGGTTTATATACAAAGGACTTAAAATCAGCATACTATAGTGACACAGCCACATCAATATTTATAGCAACTCAATTCACATTAACTAAACTATGGAACCAAACTAGGTATCCCTCAATAGATGAATGGATAAAGAAAATGTGGTATATATACTCAGTGGACTATTACTCAGCTTTAAAGAAGAGTGAAATTATGGCATTTAAATGGTGGGAGTTGGAGAATATCGTGCTAAGCGAAATAAGCCAATCCCACAAAACCAAAGGCCAAATGTTTTCTCTAGTATGCGGATGCTAATTCACAATAAGGTGGGAGACACTAGAGAAGAATAGTGTTACTTTAGATTAGGTAGAGGGAAGTGATGGGAGGGGAGGGGAGAGGATGTGGGGATAGGAAAGATAGTAGAATGAAACAGACATTATTACTGTATGTATATATATGACTGCATGACCAATATGATTCTGCAACATGTACACTCAGAAAAATGAGAAATTATCTCATCTATGTATGACATATCAAAGTGCATAAATGCATTTTACTATCATGTGCAAGTAATTAAAACAAATATAAAATTTTTAAAATGGTTACAACGGAAAGTGTGGATATATCTTTAAAAGAAAGTTCTGCATGTATTAGGAAAACTTTGGGCAGGGGGGAATGCAGAAAACCAACACACTGCCTCTTCATAATATGCAATTTTGTGGACTTTACATATATTTGTAGGCAAGGTAACCAAGGGTCCTAGTTTTTGCACTGAAAAAAGTCCATGTCCCCAGATAACTTCTGAGTCCTGGGTAAATGAGGACTTAGAGCATCAGTGGCTCCCTGCTGGTCTCCCTCAGAACCCACTCCCCATGGCAATATTGCACCTGCTCCAATCTCTAAGTGACACGCCCTGAGTGAGGTTTCTTAGAGGTAACAAGCTGCAGCAGAAGGAGTGCATGAGCAGAACAAGATGTGTGTCCTGGTCCCTCTACTGCCACCAAGTATGAGAAAGTCACTTTTCTTCTATGTTTCTCAGTGAGTACTTCACAGCTGAAAGGATGCGTTTAGACCCTGTCTAGCTTGAACTGGATAAACGCTCAAGTGGCAAGGGAGAGGGCTTCGGGCTGCCTCCACGTTCTCCAAGATGGTTTTTAAGTTGGGGATCTTTCTGATGTGACCTTAAAACATGAATGTCAACAAAACTCTGTGCCATTTGGAATGACTGCCGAACAATCCACTATTGTCCACCCTACATCTGCACTGGTATTGATGAGGCAGAAGCTAGACTGTGGCAATCACAGTTACGAAATGATGCCCTCGTGCCAAATAAGGCCAAATGACTCAAAATGGGATTTCAGAGTTGTGTGCAGAGGAAAAACACAAAACCAAATGTTGAGTTATAGCAATGAGACTGGAAAGCTTCGTTTACCATGCCAAGTTCAAACATTTTATGCCAGATGAGTCAGAACCATCCGCGAATATACCTGATATTCACAGTGGGGACCCTTACTTTCTCCAGCATGTTCAGATTACCCTGGCTATTCCAGACCCGTTTGGTCATGCAGGGAGTCAAAGTGAACTTGCAAGTCCACTTCCACTTGACCCTTGCTGACTCTGCCACCCCTCCTCAACAAGAAGAGAACCTCCTTGCCTTAAACTCTAAGGGGGGGGGGTGGTTCTCCCTTCGATTCTGGGGCGGGTATTTCTCACTGCTTACTCTGTCTTCATTTCTACCTCTTTAATTTCCCTAAAAGGAGCTGGAAAGTGCTTCTCTCTCAGTTGTGCACAGTGCAGTCTTGCTAAAGGCATGTTTAAGGACTGGACTTTGGTTTCAATGAGAAGATTAACCACGTTTGGAGAGTCCAATGCACAATCATTCCTTTACTGAATACATGTCTTTGCTCACAAAAGCATCAGTAAGAAAAATGAGCTGCTATATATTTCAATACAACTCTACATTTCAATGCTACATATTAATGAAGACCCTCATTTTTGGTAACCAGTAATGGATCCAACTGAAATAAACACACTGATAATCTTTTTTCTTTAAAAAAAAAAAAAACAGTAATCAACAGAAGTCTGCAAAGAATTCAGCAACTTGCAAAGTTGATTCTCAGATCCCCACATGGTGTAAAGATTATATTTTTAAGGATGACAAGTCCAGTAGCCTGCAAGGGGCAGACTGAAGCAAGAGGGACACGTGGGTCCAGGGGCTATGGAGCCAGGAGAACAAAGGTGGGGTGGGGTAGTTACACTGTAGTTCTCACATGTGCCACCATAGTGGAGGGTGTCACCAAGAGCCATCATGATGGCAGACCAGTGTGCCCAGACCTTTCCATTGTCCACAAACATCTGCAAAGGTAGATTCTTAGGTAAAATCTCCAATTTTTAAGTATTAACAATTAATCCTAAAAAACATTAAGTACTGTGCAGACCCACTGAGGATCTTCATTTGCAGTTTCTAACTTAAACCTTTATATGCAAACAAAATAGAAAATAAAGAAGTGATGTTCTTTGTTGGGGGTGGTTTAGATACTCACTACTTACTGTTTAATACATTTTTTTAAAAAGTCACATATGTAATGTCTTTGTATTTTTAGCAACCACTGGTCAGTTATTAGGAGATGAGGATAATGACAGCAATATGCCTAGCACCAAAAAATAATAAAACGTCAGTGAATATCTGTTCTCTGGCACTTGACATAAACGTCTTTAAGTCATCAAAAGCATGTGCTTTTGTGAAGTACAACAAAATATCTCAAAAATTTTAGCCAGAAGGTAGGAATTTTTTATTTTCTTGGCATATTAGCACTTTATTTTCTATATTGTGTTATGAAAAAAACAATTTACTTACATATACACTCAACTTAAAATACTTACAAATACTTAAAGCATTAAAATTTGTAGCAATTTTTTCCTTAACTATTTCTACTGACTTAATGGAATCAGCCAATGAAAGTCAAGTACATGTGTTTAGACTGTAAATGATCTCTTATTTTTTTAACATAATTGTTAAATAATCAGACCTCGCCTTCTCATTATGAAAGTCTCATGATTTTCAGGAATGCTATAGTTCAGTTTGTTGTTGTTGTTCTGGAATCTTGTGACCTCCAAGGCAGGAACTGACAGCCAGCTTCCTAAGGATGACTGGGATTCAATTCACCAGGGTCATCGCTGGCAAAGCTGAATTATCAGACTCAGCAATTTTGAAATACATGGAAGAAATCAAGGTATGGCTGGCTGTTCCTTCTTTTTTCTTTTATAGTCTTCTTGAAATTTTGAAAAAAATGCAATGATGAAAAGTTCAAAAGAAAGGAGGAGCAGACACTGGGCTCTCCCAGGAGTTGGACACATTTGCTGACCCGTCCACATGACTGGTGGAAATTCACCCTCCAGCTAATGGTCGGGCAGACCACAGAAGATCCACAGACTCTCATGCTCCAACTGCCTGGGGAAGGCTCGAGCAAACAATGGGCCAGGATGTGCTCCACACTTACTGGGGAACCTTTGTTCCCCAACAAATGTTTTCTCAAACCCATGGCTTTCTCAAAAAAAAAATAAATAAAATGAAAATTTTTGAAATAAAAAGGGATGAATGAAAAAAAAATAAGAGTAGTCAAAGCTAATTTGAAAACTACTTTCAATTAATTGTCAGATTTAGAATCACTCAATGGAATTGAGCCCAATGAAAGGCAACTGGACTGCTCTGGGTTTGTGAGAGGTTTTTAAAACATCGTACCAAAGATTAGCAGGCAGTTTGTGCTGTGTAAGCCAGAGACCCAACAGTAAGAAAAAAATCCACTAACACGTTTCATTCTCCGCTTTCTAATTTAGTTGACGTCTGTCCCCTCTTATTTTTGGTGATGTGCCTTCTTCTCCCTTTCATCTAATCAGAAACAAAGAAATCTTCACTTTTCCCCACTCTTTAATCTTCTTGGTTAGCTTTGATTACTTGCAAACATTATTTAGCTATCATGTGACTCACGATGTTTAAGACACTTGCTAGCAAGTAGGGGTTTCTCAAGGAAGACATCAAAATAGCAACAGTAAATTGAAAAGTTCAAGGCAAAGTTTAAACTTCTTGTCTCAATGTAAAGTAAATACAAAGGGAAAAAAAAACTTATACTATTCTCATTGAGACCTACATATAGTTTATACATATATATATGTGTGTGTGTGTGTGTGTGTGTGTGTGTGCGTATATATATATAAATTCAATGTACTATATGAAGTCAAATTAGTTTTAAATTTGTTACCACCTCAAACAGTTGATCAACTTTGGTTTAATTATGTTAAAATCTAAAATTATTATTTTTCAAATTTAGTTTTCACCTGGGTGGAGAAAATTTTTTAACTGTATGTATAGGAGGCAATAGAAGCATGGAATGTGTTTTTAAAAAGATTCTCCCAACTTAAAAGAAAACAGTTATCTAAATTTGTTTGATTAGTCTAAATCTTAAGAATAAAAAAAATAGTTGTAACATTCATTTTATGTAAAATGAAAGCCAACTTTATATTTAGCTTTGTAGCTTGATTGTTTATATATTTTGGTATTTTAAATATAATGTAAATAATCAGTTCAGCATGAACTAGGAATTATATGAAATGCAAATAGAAGTCCAATTTAAAAAGAATTAAATACATACCACATGCTTCATTAAAAAAATGAAAGCCCATTATTATTTATATTATGGATTTACATATGTAAACATTTATTCAGGTAAATATAAAATAAAGTATAATACATACAATAAAAAATTTTTCCTGAAATTATGACATGAAAACTATTAACCTGTTAAATAAGTAATGACTCTAACAAGAAACTCTAAAGGCAGCCTTTTAAAGGACACTGAGACCTGAGCCTCATCTTAATGTCTAGGGTGAGTAAGTGGAGAAGGAAAAACATGGCTGCCCAGTCTTTGGACAAATGACCAGGTAGGTCTTCCCCTTCTGGAAAATGCACAGGGCCCCTGATGAATCTAACAGTCTTTGGGCTGTAAGTGACATTTTTCTAGCACTCGAGGGAGGTCACTAACTTCTGCAGGGGGATGGTTCTGTGCATTCCTAAGAATACTTCAAAGGCACAGCAGAGAGAGAAAGAGACATCTGGAAATGCCATCAACCAGATTCTAATCTGCCTTCCAGAATCCAGTGTGAAGAAACCAATTTGAATTACTTTAAGAGGGAGACAGAAAAAGACACAGACAGACAGAGAGGCCAAGACAAAAAAAGACAGACAGAAAAGGGAGATAAAGACAAGAGACAGGCACAGAAGATAAATGCCCAAAGACCTGTCAGAGCGCAAGCTCCTAGAGACACACAAAGACTCCCGGTTAGCCAACAGCACATGAAGTAACTAACACATTCACTTGGATCCTTTTAAACACATGTATGGTAAAAGTCTATCATTCCACTTTTTTCAGCAAAATTATGTCTTTGCTATTTAAATAATAATTGCCCTGGAACAAGTGGTAACGCACTGGTTTTTGCTGGAATTTTCCATTGCTCAAGTTTAATTGGCTCAATAGGTAGTACCCGAGCCTGGTACAACAATTCAGAAGAGTCAGGCAGCCCAGCTGCAGCAACAACGGTTCCTTCCTCCCGCCTAATTGCCCCCCAATTTCCTTTCCAAAAGTAACCACTGGGGCTGGTCCCTCACCAGCCTTTCCTATACATTCTGTGCAATCATAACCAAGCGTTTGTGTCTCCCTCCTTTCTGTTCACATCATAGTTGCCACGTGACCATGCACACAGGGTTGCAGTTTTCCCTGCATCTCTCTTGGAGCCACCCAGTTCTTTGAATGGGTATCCTGGATTCCAAGATAGATGAACGGTCACCCCCAGAACACACATCTAACCAGACCCTTACTGATGGCCACACTTAATGATTTTTGCTCTTGGGTTTGCAGCTAGAACTTCAACTAGTAGGAATTACTGCTTTGGGCTTAAACACACAATCATCACCTACTTAATGAAACTTGAAATATCTTACCTATGGACGCTGTGCAAATGTGGTGTGTGGAGAAAGACAAGAATGCCGATTGTCATGTCGTGGGACCTTCACCTCGGTTGCCATGTGAAACACTGGTTGAATAAATGAGGAAAGGCGGCACTATAACCAAAAGTCACAAGGGGACCAGTGCCATGTGCACATTCCTCAGCGGAGGAATTGACGTGGACTCAACAAAACATCCTCATCTTAGGAGCAATGTAATTCTGATCTGCCTGTCAATTGGAAAACTTCTGGTAGCAGCAAAAACTGCAGCAGAAACATCCTAAATAATGAAATGTGTTGCAGACTTCAAAAGAGGGCAGCAGATGAACAACAAATTCAAGAAAAATGGGTTTAGAAATTAGTAGAAAGTTAAGTGTATTCTACAATGTTCTCGAATTTCCAAATGCAGGGACTTCCCTTGTTCAGCGAGATTCCTTTTGGAATTAACTACAAAATCAACTAGCAAATGTGGCCTTTGCCTTTCAGCAGGCTGGCTGACCCCTGCACAGCTGTCTCAGAGGAGGAAGCTGCTAGGGAGTGGAAGGTCTCTGCATTCTCCAGCATAGCCACAAACGGGAAAAATGCCCCAGGGCAGGCTCCTCAGTCAGGTTAGGGCAGCTTCCTCCCTGAGCTTAATGATCCAGGAATGGTGACAACTTTTTGAATGTCTTGGATGAGCACCTCCATTCTCCCTTTCCTGTTTTGTTATTGCTGTCATGGTTCTGTTTTAAACTCGTGGGCTTAACAGTTAAAACAGGGGACACGGCTCATCACCCTAAAACCAATCAGCTGTCATCCACGATGCTACTTGCCTTACGAGCACGCAAATCACCAGGAGGGAGATTGCAAGGCACCTCCTCTGGAAGGGCGCATTCTCCTTCGGACGCTGGTGCATTTTCCCACCACATTTGTTACAGCAACGACATATGGCAAAGATACAACCCACCACAGGTAGCAGAATGATAAATAACACTCCCAGGATAACGCACAGGATAACGCCGATCTCATAGTGGGCGATCTGCAATTCAAACAAAAGAAACAACACAAACAGTCACACAAAATAGAAAGTAGAACATCCCCGAGTGGACACAATTCATTTTTTTTTTTTTACCTATTCACTATCACGAGTTGAACCTTAATGTGCATAGTTTTCCATTTGAAACTCCCTTCTGAAACAGAATTAAGTTATTAGAATACAGGAACAAGCCATTACTATCTTCCTTTCGATTCCCAGGAAGGTGTCCAAACCAGGGTCAAGTAGTGAATGGTTTAATTTTTTTTTCACTTTTTAAAAATTTGTTCTTTTTAATTATACATGGCAGTGGAATGTATTTTCAGATATTATACATACATGGAGTATAACTTCCCATTTTTGTGTTTGTGCATGATGTGGGCAAATGGTCTAATTTTAATCCCAAATGTATTTTGTCTGCTTGTAAATAGTTTGATAAGTCTTGGCCAGAATACCTGCACAGTGAATCATCTATATAGGTAGGACACACAAAGTTATCAAAGATTTGAGGCCGTCTGGATTGAATCAGTTAGCGACAAATTCATGGTTTCAAAAGAATCTGGAATAGATCTAGATTTAGAACAAAGGCCCAGGCTTTCTGAGTCTGATGGTAAAATACAGTCCACTTAGTTTTCCATCCATACATTGTGGTGTATGACTAGAGGAAAGGTGCCTGATTGAGTAGCAGGCACAGCGTGGACACTTAATAACACTTCCCATGCCACACACATGAGGCATAGCCCACGGAAGTACTGGGCTTGGCAGTCCATGTCTAAGACTGGTCCCAAGTTCCCAGGAACAAGTACAACTTCTAGATGCAATCATAGGAATAACTATATTTTCATTATCACACTGGCTTTATTCCAAGAAAAATGAAAATGAATGAAACTTGACCTGCTCCAATTCATGCATATACCTACATTTCTTAAGAATGGCAGAAAATTGCAGTTGGCAGTGGGCAACCTACAGACAAGCTAGACAGCAATAGATGCTGAGGCCACGCAGAGCTATAAAGGAAACACAGATCCTGTTCTTACAGCTGAGCGCTGAAAGCAGCTCTCCTGCCTGAGTTCCTATTCAACCTGCCTGACCCTAGTTTTCCATAATAATCAAGCAAAGTCTACTTTCTTTTGTTGCCATGAATTGGGCGATAGGCAAGAAGGCCTGGGGGCAGCAATCCCCTCTTGCCTGTCCATCCTGTAACATGTCAGAAGCTGAACATCAGCAAACTAACCAAGAATGGCCTGAGGACCTAACGATCCTTGCTCTGGAGATCTGCAGAACTAAACAGCATCCTGTGACTAGGTATTTGGGATCACATGTGCATGACCTGGCCCACTCCCTGTGAAAAGACACCTGCCAGTCTGGAAGCACCCATCAACTGCCTTTATAAGCCACTCCCAAGTCAGCTTCCTGGCAAGACAGGCTTGTGACAAGAGTCCCTCATCTCTTTCAGCTGTTTTTCAAATGAAGTTACCTTCCTTGGCTCAACACCTTGTCTCTTGACTAAATTGATCTGTGATGCAGCAAATGGCCAGACCTGGGTTGGGTCACATTCCTGGGAGCAAATACTTCCTCAGTCCTGGACCCCATCAGCATACTGTGTGGGGAGGAGAATCACATGGCCTAACATAATGACATGCACTAATTACATGAATTCATATCAAGAAATATGATATATCAAGAACTATGTAATGTTTTGAACAGCCAACAATAAAAAATTAAAAAAAAAAAAGAAACAGTAATTCACTCTCTGGGTGAATGCTTGGGTATTAAATCAGGTGCATGTTACACTTGAATACCATCTTCTTCAATATTCAGATTAAAATGCTAAAAAGAAAAACAAAGTAGCTGAATTTTGATGCATTCATGAGTTACATTTGTGTGCTTCACGTTGACCCCCTTCCCACGGCCATGAAGAGCCTTGTGCAGCAGATTCTTCAACACTTCCTCAAAGATTAGTATCTTTGGCCAACTAAGGAACCATCCCAGACACTCCAAACTCCTACATACTTATGTATTTTGCTATTCCAAATATTCTATTTATTAATCTGAAAGGAATTTTAAACCCTTTCGGAATCCCAGGAGACACTAAACCCAAGCCCAGGAAGAAGGTATATTTAAATGTTGATAATGCACTAATTTAGCTTCAAGTACAAATTCTGTACTTTCTGTAGAACCTTCCCAATGTTGCTGGCTAAATCAGGCAGTATGGAGACTCAGAATGCATCATTTTGAAAGTCGACTCCCAGGCTAAAGGCTAGGCAAGATCTGGGAGTATGCAAATTATTTTTTGATACACCAAGATCTTAAAGCACTAGATTATGCTCAAGACAAGATTAAAGATGAATGCAGAAACAACAATGAAATGAATAACTAAAAACCATCAAAGGGAAGGCAGCAAAGAAGAACAGAAAGCTCTAAGCAAAGCGGAGCTACTTAACTGCCTTCAGGCAAAGAGCAACATGCGAGCGACAGCAGACATGAGCTTTACCTTCAGGATCAAGACTATGTTTTCTGGCTGTGAAGTCAAAGCAGTTGAGGAGTTTGTGTGTAGCAGAGGCAGCGGCATCAAGAAAACAGACAGGAAAAGTCACGTGAGTGATTGACCACAACCGAGAACATTAGCAACCCACACAGAGAAAATCAAGCAACAGAAGAACGACATAAGAAAGAAGTATAATACCTGAGTGTGCATTTGAGGAACTGTTCTGAGTAGAGCCAAGTTCTGAAACTTACATTTCGATTACTAAAAGCTTCTTGGTTTGGTTTTGTCTTTGTACCAGGGATTGAACCCAGGGGCACTTAACCACTGAGCCACATCCCCAGCCCTTTTTATTTTTTACTTTGAGACAGGGGCTCACTAAGATGCTTAGGGCCTTGCTAATTGCAGAAGCTGGCTTTGAACTTATGATCTTCCTGCCTCGGCCTCACAAGGGGCTAGGATTTCAGGCGTGTGCCACACCTGGAGAAAGGTTTTTAATCAGTATGGGTCACTTGTGAAAAAGTGAATTAGAAAGTCACAAATGCTTAGCATGCTAACCATGTGATCTTCATAAAAGAGAAAACCAGAGGCTGACTAGAGTCCCATCCTCTCTAAAATGAAATCTGCTGGTGTCCTCCTGGCTTCACAGTGGTCAATGGAATTCCGCCATTTTTATTCCAAACTTTTCAATCTGTTCTGTATCATCTGATCTTGGCTTCAGGTGCCTGTTCTTCTCAACCATCCTTGACCATCTTAAGGTGTTTGTTGTCACCCTATAAAACGTCCCCAGAACGTGTCCTGTGTGCTGCCCTTCTTCATTCTGTTCCCTCCCGTGCTGCATCTTCACCCAGAATGTTATTCTCATTTGCTCTTCTCCTGATGAAACTCAACACTGAGTCTAGGTGTTGCCTCCTCAAGACATTCGGGTGCCCAACATCCTCTACTTACCACCATGGAGCCCTACACTTGGCCTGTGGCAGCAGAGATGCTCCGTAGAGGAACCAGCTGCCATACAGCTATCTCCACACCCTGTTCATGTCTGGGAGAGCAAGACCTGTGACAGTCATGCTCACCGTGTGCTCCCAGGTGCCCAGCCCAGGACCTGGCACTAACAGTCACCCAGTCAAACTCTGATGAACTGATGAACTGAGGAACAGGAGACCCAACCGTATACTGTTCACCAACAATTCCTAAACAATGGTGCAGAGATGGGGGCTGGCAGTGTTGGGGATAGACCAACCCATAGTGAAGATGCGATGAGTTTTCCATAAAGCTAGATTTGCTCAATTTATAAAAACTATCCTTTTCTGGTGATATGTGTAGGAAGGAAAACGGAAGTCATTATGGATTTTATGCTTAACTTTTTGTACGTATATGTGGCCCTGAGGATTAAACCCAGGAGCACTCTACCCATAAGCCACATCCCTAGTCTTTTTTCATTCTATTTTTGAGACAGGGCCTTGCTAGGTTGCCCAGGCTGGCCTCAAACTTTCAATCCTTCTTCCTCAGCTTCCCGAGTTGGTCCCATAGGCTTATTAACCCTCAGGGCTCAGTATCCCAAATGTGCCAACCACAAGCACTTCACAGTGAATGTTAAAAACACTGACTTCTGGGCTCTACCCTAGAGTGTGTGAGTCAGGACATGTGGAAAGACCAGCAATTGTCTTTAATAAGAGCCCTGGTGATTGTAGTGTTATTCTGAACTCACAGTTAGTTCAGTGTGGGAACCCTGCCCTAGTCTGGCTACAATGGCTGGCCACTCTGGGCTGTGGCCGGGGCAGAGCCACCCATAAGTTACAATAATCAGCCGATTCTTTCGTGTTCATTTCTTCCACCCAAGAGTCACCCTGCCCTGATACGCATGATAGGATGGCAGCCCACACCTCTGGGGAGCCGGGTGCATTTCACTGTTTCTCTTTCCACTCTGGCTGTCATGCAGATCTTATCTTCTGTGTAATGTGGCAGTGTGAGTCCTGGCTCTGCCACTTAGTGTCTGTGATTCTCTACTCCAGTTGCTCATTATGGTCACTTAGGGAGCATTTAAAACATACCAGTAGCCAGCCAACCCTGAACAACTACATCAGAATGGGGTCTAGACATTGCTATCCACACTCCACTGAGCTTCAGTTTCCTGGCTGACAGAATGGGAATAAGCCGAGACCATACCTTATGCTGCTATTGCAAGAACTACATGAGAAAATGGCAGGAATGTGATTGTGCCTTCTTCTATTCCAGGTGTCTTGATGAATGTTAAGTGAACTGATACTCTCGAATTCTTAAGACCAATGCCTGCCAGGGTGATGCTCAAGCGCCACCTGAGCTCCAGGAGCCTTGAACCGTGATTCCTGGTGGTGCACTACCCTGCCCTGTGCTCTCCATGTGCCATGGCAAGGGAACTGAGCTTTCTTATTGGCAGAGTGTCCTGTCCCCCTGGGAGGGCCGGAAACGGGAGCTAAGTCACTTACGCCTCAGATAAGTAGGTGGCATCCAAACTCACAACCCTGCTTGTGTGAGCACCTAACATTTGCTAAATGCCGCATTGGTATCCAGTGATTTTTTAGGACGTTAGTGCTAGTGAGTTTGTCACGGCAACAGGGACGAATCCCAAGCCCTGTACCTTTCCCCAGAGGGAACATAAAGAAAGGGCAAGGAAATAAGTGAGAAATGAAATAAATGAGGAAAGGATGAAGCGGCTGAATCTAGTAGGGAGCTGATCAAGAAATAAGAGTAGAGGTAAAACACCACCACGTGGAAACGAATCCAGTAACCATGACAAGGAAGTCCGTGAGTCCCGCTGACAGAGATGCACAGAACAACCAAGATGGCAAGCAGCAGGTGGGGAGGGTCTGCTAGGAGAATGGACTCCGTGAAAGGTTGCCCTTGAAAACTGTGGGTAATACTTACCGGTTATCAGTGGGAGGTGGTTTTAAGGAATCTACGTAGATGCCCCAAGCCAGGCATTCTATCACGTAAGAACCATGTCCTTCCTCTTAGTTGACAAGTGCTAGGCTTGCCTTCTAGGCAGAACCCCAAGGGAGCACGTCACTGAGTGACACCATGCTGTACTCCTCTTGTACCGTCAACCAGGATGTGGAGGGTCTGGGAAGTGGCTCACCCCCAAGCTCTGACCCCCAAGAGAACGGGTTCCGGAGCTCTGCGAAAAGGGCTGAGGGTGGTGTGGCTCACTTCTGTATCATGAGCCCAGGCTCTGGCAATAAATGGGGTGGACACTTCAGCTGCCCGTGTCCTCTCTGGCTCAGCACCTCAGATGGACAGACGAGTCTTGTGAAAACCAGAAGAATCAGCAGATATCGGTCACATGGAAGTACGTCTGGGACCCGGCACGTGCTGAGGAGATGCTGTGATTCCGTTTGAGGGCACCGGGACCATCAGAGTTGTTTTGAGGTCATCTGTTCACTGCTCCTTTCTCATCACAGCCCCATGATCCCCCTTTAAGACTTACTCAAAGGCAAGGAGAGCTTAGTCACCCACCACCCAGACTTGCCTCCACCCATGCCTCATCCTGGCTGTAGAATCTCTCACAGGTTCTCTGAGAGCACCTTCAGTATTCCTTCCTCAGCAAACTGGGGATTCAGTCACACTGGAGTAACAGGTAACTTGGGACGTGACCATTTCTGCCCAGGGACAATCACCCACTCTAAAAATTTGTGGCTGAAAATGTGCAAGGACAGCTGAGTCCGTGACACTCTCTGCACACAGCCAAAGAGCTCAGATAAGACCTGTTTCTTCCAAGCAGTCCTGTGGCTTGGAACAAGGCTCACCTTCATTGATGCTATTTGTCCTTTCAGAGTCAGAAATGGTCTGGGTGCAAATCCCAGCTTCCTCACTCAGCCACTGGGTGACCTTAGGCGAGTTCCCTTGGCCTCTCTGAGTACAGGACTTCTTCTGCCTTTACAATGGCACAATTGCTTGCTCCTTGGAAGGCTGTCCTTGTGAGAGTTAGAAACAAGGCAATGCTCATAACCCAGAGCCTGGCACAGACAGCCAGAGATGGCGGCTCCTACTTTCACAGGGAAGATGGTGAGCTAGTGTAAGAACAGGCTTTCAGAAGCTGTTGAGTGGCCTGGTGCTTCCAGCCAAGTGTTTTTGGTGGATGTAAGACTTTACTTCTCACTCTCCTGGCCTTTCAGTCAGTCTTAAAGGCCAGCTGCACACGGAGTCCTCCCTGGTTTCCCCAGGGCAGGGTCCCTCTCTGAACACCCTGGCCCTGATCACGGGGTACACATCCCCCTCCATCTCGCGGGCCAGTTACCCAGGGTCTCAGTCTGCACAGCTGCCATGACAGAGCACCACAGACACGGTGGCTTCCACAGTGGACACTCATGTCCCCGCAGTTCTAGAAGCTGCAGAATGCCACGTCAAGGTGCCGGCAGGACTGGTTTCTGTGCTGCCTCTCTCCTGGATGGCTTGAGGGCGCTCACCTTCTGGCTGGAGCATCACGTGCTTTTCTCTGCCTAACTGTGTCCTTGCTTTCCCTTCTTATAAGGACACCAGTCATAATGGATGAGGGCCACCCTAACCCTCATTTCAGTAATTACCTCTTTGAAAATCCTTTGTCCAAATATAGTCACATTCTGAGCTCCTGAGTAAGACGACGTGAAAGTGAGAATTCTGGACGCAAGTCAGCCCATATCATCCAAGCACTTGTCTGTTTCTTGGCCTCTCTTTCGCCAACTCTGAATTCTTGGAGGAAGAGCCATACTCTGGCATGTTTGTACCCCTACCATGCATTGATCCTAACTGGAACTCCATAAACATAAATTGAGCAACTACACTGTAATAACTAAAAGAGAGAAAAAGCCTGGGTAAAAAAAAAATGTCACGAAAGAGAAGGGGTCCAAGGGTCACTCACTCCTTGGAACAAAAGGTCTACACTTGTGACAGCTTTTGAATCTCCTTAGGAAGAAAGTCGGCTGAAGACCCCCAAACAGAGATCACTGACTCAGCTGCCCAGGTCCTCGGCCATCAAGGGACCCAAAGATGCAGCACAGAGCCAGGAGAAAGAGACCAGGGAGGCTCGACCCCAGGTCCACTCACCTGGACAGTCCTTACCTGTGTGCCTGTGCTATGTGGACCCACTGAAGTCGTCCTCGGTGCCTGCCCATGCCCTCGGGCCTCTACCATCCTGGTGTGCCTCCTCAGACTTCTAACTACCGGCATCGTTAATTCTGCTTGAGGGCTTTCTCCAGAACCACAGAAGGTCAGAAGTACTCAGAAGTGAACGCTGTCCTCCACACTTAAGCAGCCCTTAGGCAGCGCCGCTTGGTCTTGGTATATAGAAACTGCAGCTCCCCGGCCCTTCCTTCCCCAGGTAACCTGGAGGCTGATGTTTTGCAGGTTCCCAGGGCTCTTCTGCAGTACGCAGTTGTTACCCCCTGGGCAGGTGGCTCATTGGAACCCTTCCCCACATCCCAGTTGGTGTTCCCTGCCCCTCCCTGTTCTTCACTCCTTGACTCAGGGGGCAGTGGGGACAACTTATCAAATGCAGCAGTTACCTGACTAAACCCAGCCCTCCCAAGATGCCCTGACTTCTCTGGTGTCTTTGCTTAATTAAATCCCTTCTCCCTGGATAACCGTAGAAAGTGTGATCCAATTCCACGTTAAGGGAACATTCAGTTCATTCAAGTGGGCTCAGGTCTGTATCCTCTCTCTACCCCCCTCCCTCATCGGTTTTTATCAGTATCCCCGAGGGCAGAGCAGCTCCCAATTTAATACTAAGCTGAACATGAAGGAGCTGTCCAGTTAAGAATCCTGGAATGGTCAGTGCAGTGGCACTGAAGGGTAAAATGCTTTCGCAGTGAGCTGCATCCAGGAAGGAGGAAGGCTCCTCCGCCATCTCAGGCTTTCCTGCCATCAGATATAAATGACATTTAGAGAAGGTTTTCTCTTTGACTTCTATATTCACTTTTCTCTTGAGTAGCATTTTATTGCAAATTGAGAATATGATGAGGTCATTTATAACTATAGCACCTGAGGTCACTGTCCACTGGGCAAGTGTTAACTGCCCCCACTCAAACACTAGCACTGAGATTTGTGGCACTAGTCAGTAAAGAATGTCCACCAGGACCTCTGCTTACTGGAACTCAAGGACCTCAGCTACTCTAGCAGAGAACAGGGCCACATGCCTTGCTTACCTTGCTAAGGACCGAGAAAGTGACCAACAGACTCAACTAATTTTTATTGTTCTCCATACAAGGCAGCAATTATTTGTCTGTGGGTTTCCCAGAAAACCTACTCTCCTAACAAACCAAGATCAAAAGAACGAACATCCTTCCATTTAGGTGTCAGTCACAAAACCAAACCAGTGAATCCACAGCACCGTGAGTGTCAACCAGAGAGGTACTTTCTGAGATTCTGTCCACTCGCCTGCTGATGGGGTCCTGACTCACCTTCCTTTCTCTCTGGTCAACCTACCTGCTTCCTTCATACCTGACCCTTGGCTCACGTGGTTCCCAGTCTGGGATGCAACAGCGACACCTCCCACCTGCTCTTGACCTCTTATCCTTTCCACCCCAAAGTCAATCCCTCTTGGAGGAGCTTCTGGACAGAACCAACTCTCCCTGTTCTCTGAAGGTCACTTATGGAGGTGAAGCTACTTTCTAACCGGTTGTCTTCTAAAATGAAGCAATCTGTCACCAATTGTAGAGATTTTCAAACAAGTCTACTCTTATCCCTTTGCTAAAAAATGTTAATATTTCTTTGGGAGAAATTTTAACTTCTTAACAACATACAGTTTGAAAGATTTTCTTCAAATGCTACTTTCAAAATTTCTGCTGTCATTCAAATGGGATCGATAAGTTTGTTCAATGGCCGATAACAAAGGATACTGAAATTACTGATTAAATAATGGCTATTTGAAGATCTATTTGCAACTCAGCCAAGATTTTTCTCATACATGTTATTTTTAATAACAAACACATCAATAAAAAATTACCTCATCATAAACAGCTGAGACTTCAAATTTGTTCCGTATAAATTTTCTGATGGAGTCTGGGGGAAAAGAGCCACAAAATAGCAAAATTATTTTTTCAGGAAAAATATAAAATGCATATTTAGAAAAAATAGGTTTATCTATGCTTACAAATTATTACTTCTATGTATAGTATTCTATGGTTTTGTTCTTATTTTTTAATGTAGGTAAATAATTGAATTAATGTGCCTTTGACTCATTAATTGAAAGCAAAGAAGCAAATATTTTTGAGTCACTGTTTGGCCAGTGGCAGAATTAAAGGGTTGCTATTCTAAAGGCTTCATAATTTCTCATGATATGCCTTAATATTTATTTACCAGCAAACAAAAGGCAGCTCATTAACAATCACTAATAAAATGTTGTGTTCAAATTGCTAATTATTATTTGCAAAAAACTTACCTTTTGATAAGTCCATATTTGCATAATATTTTTTTAAATGAGTCTAGAAGTCAACCTAATCCAAAAGTACTTAGTATAGGAAACCCCTCTGTTTCCATGAGCAGAGCATGAAATGTCATGCAAAATTGCATTTGTCCTCCCGTTTCATTTTCCTACATTTTCAAATTCTCATAGGGCTGGGCTAGAAACGAATGATACAAGACAACTGAGGCCGGACAGTGAAGGACATGCTAAGGAAGCAAATAGGGATTGGTGAGCAAGCCAAGGCTCCAGCTCCCCTCTCCTGTTGGGCCTCCTGCCCACCATGCCGCCCACAGTCATACCCCAGGAATGAGCTTCCATTCGATACACAGAAGACACCTGAGCAGGTGTTTAAAGATTAGGCTGCAGGAAAAGGGATAGGGACTGGGGAACCCAAGCAGTTATTCCACGGCACCCACAGGCTGCACAGGGGCAGGAGGGAGCCTAAGGCAGACCTGCCCGACAGGCTGCCTTCCTCTCAACCAAGCTTTGGTCTGTCCTGTAGATTAGACTTCTATCAGAATTTCACTGGATTAAAGTGATACTGGTCTTGGAAATCAAAATTGGGTCCTCATTCCCCTGGTGTTGAAGATTAAACACCCCAGAAACACTGAGGCAAGCGTAGAAAGCGAATTTTATTTAAGAAAGAGACAGAACAGAGATAGCAAGCTTCTTCGGAGAGAAGTTAGGGCCAAAGCTGATTGCCCAGGGGAGTCAGGGGGTCTTGCTTTTTTATAGAGCCCCCGCTCCTTCCTGCAACTGGTGGCCCTTTCTCTCTGGTGTCTGCCAGCCCCTCCAGGCTGTGTGGAGTAAGCAGGTCCACTCTGAACCTGGGGTGCAGGGGGAGGTATCCTGGGAGCAGGAGCCAACCCTGCGGAACCCAGCTCTGGAACTGGAGCTACTCTGTCTGACTGCCTCTCTCAGACACCAGGCCAGAGGACTGCGATTGCACAAAGTCTCCCTGAGGCTAAGCAAGGACAGATCACATCCTTCTAAGTGAACCTGGACAAGGCTCTATCAATAGCACATACAACAGAAGACTAATAGACAGAGGAGGCAGCTTGGGCCATGGCAGCCACAGAGAAGTGGACTCCCCCAAGTTCTAGCAGGTTCTACCAGAAGTGTGTAGTGTGTTTGAGGACCCCCCGGCCTCCCCCTGGTGGTCCTGGGAGTCCGAGGAATGGTCCTAGCTACATCTACAGCACTACCCCCCCACCCTCCGGCAGCTGACTCCTGTTCTTTGGCTGCCAGTAGACACTGTCCCCTTGCTGTGAGGGCAAAAACCCATCTAAGCTTTTGGAGCAGAGATGTTCTCACTTCCTGTGAGATAGAGCAGCACTCTCCTATAGAAATACAATGGGAGCCACTTAAGTGATTCTATTATTTATTTGTAGTTTAATATATATTGAGAAATGACAGCTGAACATATTAATGGGATACAAAATAACAGCATGACTTTTGAATACCAAGTCAGGGCTAAACAAAGTCAACCAACCCAGCCCCAACCCAGCCGTCGCCTCAAACATCTGATATCCAACAGAAGAATGGATAAAGAAAATGTGGTATGTCAGCCCTACCGAAGAATGAAATCACGGCATTTGCTGGTAAATGGATGGAACTGGAGAACATCACACCTAGTGAAATAAACCAGAAAGTCAAGGGTTGAATTTTTCTCTCATATACAGAAAAATCTGAGATTTTCATGGGATTCCCTCCCCTGCTTTTTTCCCTAGAGCAAAATAAGGGGGAAAAAGGGAGAAGGAATCCCATGAAAATAGAAGGGAGGTCAGCAGAGCCAAGGAAGGGGAGTGAAGTGGAGGGACTGGTAAAGAAGGGAAGAACTGCAGAGTGAATTGGACCAGATTATGTTATGTCCATATATGAATATATCACAGGGAATTCCACCTGGACGTGTATCTACAAAGCCCCCATTTTAAAACAATGAACAAATACAAGGAAGACCAGGAGACCAGAGGAAGGGGAAGGGGGGGGGATGGAGGGGAGGGAAAGAAGTAGTACTGGGGGTTGAAATGGAGCAAATTATATTTCACGCAGGTACAATGACATCAAAATGAACCCCACTATTATGTGTAACTATCGTGCACTGATAAAATATTTTAAAATGCTTAAGAAAAAAGTTGGTATGTCACATGCCATTTCAGAAGAAAGCATTCTTAAGAAATTTGTGCTTTTCTTTTCGTTTGAGCTAGGTATACCAGGAGGGCATGGTAATTCCAGGTATCTAGCAGTTACTTATTCGCATTGTATAAAGTTTTTCTTTAGTAGTGTATTTAAGAGACTTTTCAAGTTCAGAACTTTTTATTTTCAACAAGTTGATGAAGATGTGCCAAATAAATAAATACATAATAAAAAATAAGTAAATAAAAATTTAAACATAAAATTAAAAAAAAAAAAACATTTGATATCTTCCACGACAGGCATCTTTGAGATCTGTCCTTCCAGCGACATTAAAGTGTACATTATCAGCTCCTAGCCACTGTGCAACAAATTAAAAAAAAAAAAAGAATCAAACAACTTCATTCCTCTTATCTGAGGCATTATGTCCTTTGATTGTTGTTCCCTCCTTCTCCTGCCCACCCCTCAGCCTCTATGGCAGCCATCCTACCCTCAGCTTGTTTGAATTCATTGTTTTGATTCAACAGACAGTGAGACTATGCCGTTATTTTTGGCTTACTTCACCTGGCGTGACAGTCTCCAGTTCTACTTATGTTGTCACAAATGGCAAGCATCTCTTCCCTTTTTCAGGTTGAATAGTGCTTCAGTGCGTATCTGTACAATTTTTAATCCACTCATCCCTTGCTGGACACAAGGCGATTCCTTAACTTGCCTACTGTGGATAGTGCTGTGGTGAACACAGTGTGCAGGGACCTCCTAGACACACTAATTTAAAATCTTGGTGGATATCCAGAAGTGGAATTGCTGGGTCATACAAAATTCTATTTTTAGTTTCTTGAGGAACCTCCGTACAGTTTTCCATAATGGCTGTGCTGAAATTCCCACCAACAACATACAAGAGTTCCCTTTTTCTCCACACTCTCACCAACATGTGCCATCTCTAGGCTCTTTGGTAATATTCATTCTAATAAGTGATATCTGTCAGGTACTACGTCACTGTGGTTTTAATTTGCATCTTGCTAATGATTGGTGACATTGAGCCTTTTTTTTCATATGTCACCTGGTGATTAAGGTACCCATCAACCCCCAGGTGACACACAAGACAAGCCACAAACACAAACACCTTAACCCAGTGCTTACCAAGGATGATGACATCATGACCAATACCAGCGCTGACGGTTTCCAAGTGAACGATTTTATACTGACATTTCCCATCCCCTTTGCCAATTTTTCAGCCCAATGAGTGCATAGCCAAGTGCGGGTTGTAAGTCAGGTGAGCCATGGTAACGGCAGCCTCCATTTGTTCTGAGTGTGCTGTGCACTTAAACCTGACCCAGTCTTCAGGGTCATTTAACATTATCTAACCATCTGTCAAGTGCAGCCATCTGCCAAGTGCCCACCATGAGCCACACAACGTGATACACACAGGGCAGGACGGATAGGTCCTAGGCCACTCTTGAGAAAATAGTCTTCTCTTGCCCTCCAGGAGGCTTCCATGTGGAGATGACAGTGACACCATATCCTTCCTGGGCTCCTGGGGGTGCCTTCCACCACAGGGTCGGAGGCTCTGGCCCCCTCTGCCACACAGCAATTCATCTCCCAGTATGCCAATTCCATGGTTTTTTCAACAACGAAATATTTTCTTGACATATCATGGTGGATGGAAGACATTTCAGCTAACAGATGAGGAGGTTATTTTCTTAGTGAAAGACTGTTTCTCCGTGTCTGGCCTTGCAGAATCATGTGCAGGACTCCAGAAGAGGGGCTCTGCAGGGTCCAAGAACGGATGCTGAAAACATCTCCTTGTTCAACTTCTGGATCTTATGCCTTCTCACCTGGGGGTTGCTTTTAGTTTTATAGGAGGATATGAATCAGGAAATCTATCAGCAGGAGGCTAATTCTGATTCCCTTGCATTACACATGCATCAACTTAGAAGGTAGCTGGGTTTGGTTCTTCGCCCTGTGTGTCAATTCTCTATAGAAGTTGTGTGATGTCTCAAGTCACAGTAATAAGAAAAGTGCCCTGTGCGGGATCCTACATATGATGGATATACCTCCCTTAGCCCAGTCAAAACTCATCTTTGACCAAGACATTTCTGTTCGCTCACTGACTTCTTTAATACATATGCAGTTCAACCTCAAGCTGGGCCTAGTAGAATTTCACTCTCGAAATGTTTCCTTGGAAAGTGGATAGAGAATTCTAAAACCCCTGTTATTTGCGGTTGATTTATCAGCTGTGTCCTGAGCTTAAGTGCTCTTGGAAAGATTCTGCTGATGGTATCTGTAAGTCAGTTCTCTTGGGCTCTTGGGTTTGCTTAGAAATGTGATTAATTAAGAGAATAAACAGTGTTAAGTGTCTCTCTGTGGGGAGATGACAAAGCCTCACTTTTGCTCTCAGTGCCACTGTCTTACACCCAGTTTGGGGATCCCCCACATGGCTCTGTGCTAAGAAGGACTTAGTGTG